TACGGGCCGCGGGCCCAATCCGTCCTTCACTGCCATGGTGTTTTAGCCCTGCGACACGGTCCTTGGACTCCAGCTTGGACCGATGCGGTGCAGAACGAAAGCCGGCTCCAGGAGGACACGAGCAGGGTGGCAGTTGGCAGTGCAGAAACGCAGGAAAAGTCAAGGTTTGGAGCTAGTTTCTAGTCGGTTCAGAAAGTGACGTTTGGCAGTCTGGATACGGGCCGCGGGCCCAATCCGTCCTTCACTGCCATGGTGTTTTAGCCCTGCGACACGGTCCTTGGACTCCAGCTTGGACCGAAGCGGTGCAGAACGAAAGCCGGCTCCAGGAGGACACGAGCAGGGTGGCAGTTGGCAGTGCAGAAACGCAGGAAAAGTCAAGGTTTGGAGCTAGTTTCTAGTCGGTTCAGAAAGTGACGTTTGGCAGTCTGGGATACGGGCCGCGGGCCTAATCCGTCCTTCACTGCCATGGTGTTTTAGCCCTGCGACCCGGTCCTTGGACTCCAGCTTAGACCGAAGCGGTGCAGAACGAAAGCCGGCTCCAGGAGGACACGAGCAGGGTGGCAGTTGGCAGTGCAGAAACGCAGGTAAAGTCAAGGTTTGGAGCCGCAGAACGAAAGCCGGCTCCAGGAGGACACGAGCAGGGTGGCAGTTGGCAGTGCAGAACCGCAGGAAAAGTCAAGGTTTGGAGCTAGTTTCTAGTCGGTTCAGAAAGTGACGTTTGGCAGTCTGGGATACGGGCCGCGGGCCCAATCCGTCCTTCTCTGCCATGGTGTTTTAGCCCTGCGACACGGTCCTTGGACTCCAGCTTGGACCGAAGCGGTGCAGAACGAAGGCCGGCTCCAGGAGGACACGAGCAGGGTGGCAGTTGGCAGTGCAGAAACGCAGGAAAAGTCCAAGGTTTGGAGCTAGTTTCTAGTCGGTTCAGAAAGTGACGTTTGGCAGTCTGGGATACGGGCCGCGGGCCCAATCCGTCCTTCACTGCCATGGTGTTTTAGCCCTGCGACACGGTCCTTGGACTCCAGCTTGGACCGAAGCGGTGCAGAACGAAAGCCGGCTCCAGGAGACACGAGCAGGGTGGCAGTTGGGAATGCAGAAACGCAGGAAAAGTCAAGGTTTGGAGCTAGTTTCTAGTCGGTTCAGAAAGTGACGTTTGGCAGTCTGGGATACGGGCCGCAGGCCCAATCCGTCCTTCTCTGCCATGGTGTTTTAGCCCTGCGACACGGTCCTTGGACTCCAGCTTGGACCGAAGCGGTGCAGAACGAAGGCCGGCTCCAGGAGGACACGAGCAGGGTGGCAGTTGGCAGTGCAGAAACGCAGGAAAAGTCAAGGTTTGGAGCTAGTTTCTAGTCGGTTCAGAAAGTGACGTTTGGCAGTCTGGATACGGGCCGCGGGCCCAATCCGTCCTTCACTGCCATGGTGTTTTAGCCCTGCGACACGGTCCTTGGACTCCAGCTTGGACCGAAGCGGTGCAGAACGAAAGCCGGCGCCAAGAGGACACGAGCAGGGTGGCAGCAGTGCAGAAACGCAGGAAAAGTCAATGTTTGGAGCTAGTTTCTAGTCGGTTCAGAAAGTGACGTTTGGGGCACTCTGGCTAACGGGCCCGCGAACGAAAGCCGGCTCCAGGAGGACACGAGCAGGGTGGCAGTTGGCAGTGCAGAAACGCAGGAAAAGTCAATGTTTGGAGCTAGTTTCTAGTCGGTTCAGAAAGTGACGTTTGGCAGTCTGGGATACGGGCCGCGGGCCCAATCCGTCCTTCACTGCCATGGTGTTTTATGGGCCCTGCGACACGGATCCTTGGACTCCAGCTTGGACCGAAGCGGTGCAGACGAAGCCGGCTCCGGAGGACACGATCAGGGTGGCAGTTGGCAAAGTGGCAAGAAACGGCAGGAAAAGTCAAGGTTTGGAGCTAGTTTCTATCGGTTTTCAAGAAAAGTGACGTTTGTCATTCTGGGGTCCTGCACTGCCATGGGGTTTTGGCCCTGCGACACGTCCTTGGACTCCAGCTTGGGCCGAAACGGTGCAGAAGAAAGCCGGCTCCAGGAGGACACGAGCAGGGTGGCAGTTGGCAGTGCAGAAACGCAGGAAAAGTCAAGGTTTGGAGCTAGTTTCTAGTCGGTTCAGAAAGTGACGTTTGGCAGTATGGGATACGGGCCGCGGGCCCAATCCGTCCTTCACTGCCATGGTGTTTTAGCCCTGCGACACGGTCCTTGGACTCCAGCTTGGACGAAGCGGTGCAGAACGAAGGCCGGCTCCAGGAGGACACGAGCAGGGTGGCAGTTGGCAGTGCAGAAACGCAGGAAAAGTCAAGGTTTGGAGCTAGTTTCTAGTCGGTTCAGAAAGTGACTTTTGGCAGTCTGGGATACGGGCCGCGGGCCCAATCCGTCCTTCACTGCCATGGTGTTTTAGCCCTGCGACACGGTCCTTGGACTCCAGCTTGGACCGAAGCGGTGCAGAACGAAAGCCGGCTCCAGGAGGACACGAGCAGGGTGGCAGTTGGCAGTGCAGAAACGCAGGAAAAGTCAAGGTTTGGAGCTAGTTTCTAGTCGGTTCAGAAAGTGACGTTTGGCAGTCTGGGATACGGGCCGCGGGCCCAATCCGTGCTTCTCTGCCATGGGGTTTTAGCCCTGCGACACGGTCCTTGGACTCCAGCTTGGACCGAAGCGGTGCAGAACGAAGGCCGGCTCCAGGAGGACACGAGCAGGGTGGCAGTTGGCAGTGCAGAAACGCAGAAAGTCAAGGTTTGGAGCTAGTTTCTACTCGGTTCAGAAAGTGACGTTTGGCAGTCTGGGATACGGGCCGCGGGCCCAATCCGTCCTTCACTGCCATGGTGTTTTAGCCCTGCGACACGGTCCTTGGACTCCAGCTTGGACCGAAGCGGTGCAGAACGAAAGCCGGCTCCAGGAGGACACGAGCAGGGTGGCAGTTGGCAGTGCAGAAACGCAGGAAAAGTCAAGGTTTGGAGCTAGTTTCTAGTCGGTTCAGAAAGTGACGTTTGGCATTCTGGGATACGGGCCGCGGGCCCAATCCGTCCTTCACTGCCATGGTGTTTTAGCCCTGCGACACGGTCCTTGGACTCCAGTTTGGACCGAAGCGGTGCAGAACGAAAGCCGGCTCCAGGAGGACACGAGCAGGGTGGCAGTTGGCAGTGCAGAAACGCAGGAAAAGTCAAGGTTTGGAGCTAGTTCCTAGTCGGTTCAGAAAGTGACGTTTGGCAGTCTGGGATACTGGCCGCGGGCCCAATCCGTCCTTCACTGCCATGGTGTTTTAGCCCTGCGACACGGTCCTTGGACTCCAGCTTGGACCGAAGCGGTGCAGAACGAAAGCCGGCTCCAGGAGGACACGAGCAGGGTGGCAGTGGGCAGTGCAGAAACGCAGGAAAAGTCAAGGTTTGGAGCTAGTTTCTAGTCGGTTCAGAAAGTGACGTTTGGCAGTCTGGGATACGGGCCGCGGGCCCAATCCGTCCTTCACTGCCACGGTCCTTGGACTCCAGCTTGGACCGAAGCGGTGCAGAACGAAAGCCGGCTCCAGGAGGACACGAGCAGGGTGGCAGTTGGCAGTGCAGAAACGCAGGAAAAGTCAAGGTTTGGTCTGGGATACGGGCCGCGGGCCCAATCCGTCCTTCACTGCCATGGTGTTTCAGCCCTGCGACACGGTCCTTGGACTCCAGCTTGGACCGAAGTGGTGCAGAACGAAAGGCGGCTCCAGGAGGACACGAGCAGGGTGGCAGTTGGCAGTGCAGAAACGCAGGAAAAGTCAAGGTTTGGAATGGTTTGGAGCTAGTTTCTAGTCGGTTCAGAAAGTGACGTTTGGCAGTCTAGGATACGGGCCGCGGGCTCAATCCGTCCTTCACTGCCATAGTGTTTTAGCCCTGCGACACGGTCCTTGGATTCCAGCTTGGACCGAAGCGGTGCAGAACGAAAGCCGGCTCCAGGAGGACACGAGCAGGGTGGCAGTTGGCAATGCAGTGTCGTCTCGGGTCTCTTTAGGATGCCATTTCAAGTTTCATACTGCGGTTACGAACGGGGGCTTCGGGTATGGGTCTTAAGTGCTAGAGCAACCCTTTAGGTCCCCAAGACACCTGCCCAATGACGAAAGCTCCTATTTCTTGAGCCATGAAAAAGTGTCAGAGCACATAGTTGTGCGTGTCATCCTGCAGGGGTCCATGCTGCTTGCATGTGCACAGTGCCAAACGCACATACAAATGGTTTGTTTAGGTCAGTTTCTGGTTTCTTTAGGGTTCATTTCATGCTTACGACACAGAGGCAGGCATGACCCTCCAGTGTCCAGGGGTCGGCGGCAGAGGGCGTAGCCCTTTAATAACCCATGTTGAGTGGTTTCACTCATCTTCCAACACCCCATCTACCAGGGTCTATGTTAATTTACTTGAGGGTATCATCCCAATGATATTCTCTATCGATAATCCCAATCCGTTGATCCCAATGATGTTTGATAATTCCCAGGTCGATGTCTCTGGTTGCAAAATTCTTGGCGTCCTGAAACCAACATGAATGATTTATACCACCTATTGATGGTGAAAAATTGGGGATGGTTGATGGTATTGTTTTACCAACATTAATTATGTTTGAACAACAACGAATTATCTGATCCCAATTATCATCCCTATTCATAATCCTTTGATCCATATGAATATTACTATCGATCATCATCCCAATTATCTGGGCAAATTATAATACTTCACTAACCTGAAATAATGCCTTCTTCTCAGATGATTCCTCTTATTAACTATGATTCCAGTGAGAACAGTGAGGTCGTTATAATTTGCCCGGAATATGATCTTTGGTTTAATCACCACAAAAATCCCTATTTTCATCACTGTTACCCTCTGGTAATTTAACGTAGCTATAGAAAATCACCATTTTTAATGGGAAAATCCACTATTAATGGTCATTTTCAATAGCTATTTTGACATACCCAGAGGGTAATCCACATTAAGCCAGATCAATTGCAGCGATTCCCGATGTCTCTGGTCGCCAAGCAGCCGGATTTCCCCACTCTCCGCAGGGTGCCATCCGCTAGCAGGGACAGCTGGCCGCCAGCCATCTCCACCGTCCCGTCGGTGCCTCCCGGAGAAAGGCGGCACCGTTTTGGCATCAGAAAAGGTGGGAAAATGCATCAAAGTCATCAGAAAATGTGAAGAAATATGGTGTTTTTTTGGATTTTGATGCTGATATATGTTGATGTTGGTTTCGATTTTGATGATTGATCTTTTCATGGGTTTCAGTGGGGTTCCACATGCCAACCCCCAAACAAACAGTTGATGGATTGCATCTTCTGGCTTATATAATGTATTTCAGCAGGATTGCAAATGTAAACCCCAAGAAATTCTTTACTTCATGTGATCCCCACTGTAGTTTTTCTACATTCGAACAACAATTTGCTTTGACCACCCGAGACTGAGGAGCAAAAACGGAAAAGAAAAAAGAACAATGAAAATCATTCTGCAGAACTCGTAGGTAACAGCCGGTCCCGATTGAATCGGTGAACCAACTTGGAAGTCATCGAGGAATTTTGATGGGATCTATGCTGGATATATCTATGGTTAATGGAGTCTGTAAATCAGCTTATAACTTGGGGTGATATATCTATGTTTAATGAAGTCTATAAATCAGCTTATAACTTGGATATATCTATGGTTGGTGGAGTCTGTAAATCAGCTTATAACTTGGGGTGAAATATCTATGTTTAATAAAGTCTATAAATCAGCTTATAACTTGGATATATCTATGGTTAATGGAGTCTGTAAATCAGCTTATAACTTGGATATATATATATATATATATGGTTATTGGAGTCTGTAAATCAGCTTATAACTTGGGGTTATATATCTATGGTTAATGGAGTCTGTAAATCAGCTTATAACATGGGGTATATATCTACGTATGTTTAAAGGAGTCTGTAAATAAGCTTATAACTTAGGGTGATATATCTATGTTTAATGAAGTCTATAAATCAGCTTATAACTTGGATATATCTACGGTTAATGGAGTCTGTAAATCAGCTTATAACTTGGGGTGATATATCTATGCTTAATGAAGTCTATAAATCAGCTCATAACTTGGATATATCTATGGTTATTGGAGCCTGTAAATCAGCTTATAACTTGGGGTTATATATCTATGGGAATGGGGTCTGTAAATCAGCTTATAAAATGGGGAATATATCTATGGTTAATGGAGTCTGTAAATCAGCTTATAACTTGGGGTGAAATATCTACGTATGGAGTCTATAAATCAGGTTATAACTTGGGCAGATATATCTATGTTTATGGAGTCTGTAAATCAGCTTATAACTTGGGGGATATTTCTATGGTCAATGAAGTCTATAAACCAGCTTATAACTTGGGATGATATACCTATGGTTATTGGAGTCTGTAAATCAGCTTCTAACTTGGATATAGCTATGGTTAATGGAGTCTATAAATCAGGTTATAACTTGGGCAGATATATCTATGTTTATGGAGTCTGTAAATCAGCTTATAGCTTGGGGATATTTCTATGGTTAATGAAGTCTATAAACCAGCTTATAGCTTGGGATGATATACCTATGGTTATTGGAGTCTGTAAATCAGCTTCTAACTTGGATATAGCTATGGCTAATGGAGTCTGTAAATCAGCTTATAACTTGGGGGATATATCTATGGTTAATGGAGTCTGTAAATGAGCTAATAACTTCGGGTAATTTATCTATGGTTGATGCAGTCTGTAAAGGAGCTTATAACTTGAGGGCACCACCTCGTAGTTGCATGTGTTTTTACGCTTCAACTGATAGCTTGCGAGGTAATTGGAGACCCTCAAAGGTAAGACAAAGGTGGCGACACGCAAATTCCACCTTTTTATGCTCGATGTCGGTATGGGGAAACTAAGGATCTAAGGACAATCCGGTTTTTTGTCATTGGATTTGGATGGGCCTGTGGTTTTGTCATACCTCCGCTGAGTCTGGATACCCAGGTCCAAACACGCCTAAAAGCAGAGGAAAATGCAGCGTCTTGCTATGAACTGTGGTGCCGGCTATCATGAATTCCTGCGGGCACGGGATGTGCTGATGCGTGTTGGATTGATGAAAGCAATTTGTCAATTTCTCACCATGCTATAGATGTTTATGTCCATATCCACATGTTCTTGATTATCTATAGTAGTTGTATCCATGTACTACAGTGTTCATATGCCACATTCAAGCTGAAAATTCAATGATGATAAACTGATTGATGGTGTCAGACCCGAGAAAAAATGAACAAAGTACGCTCGAAAAATTGGGGAACCATTCCAAATATGCTTGCAAAAAATGTTGATCATTTTTAAAAATGACACACTGTTTTTATCGCATGGGACTTTGGGCGTCGATTTTGTTCAGACCAACCATGACCCATCCAGATGAACGGGCTGCTAGCATGTTGGATGGTCATCTCGCCAAGGATGTCTGGGACCCACAAAATGGGACGGACGGTCCCGTGCCCATGTTGGAAAGACCCAGGCTGGTCTTAGACCCATGGTTATCACCAAAAACCACCTGCTAAATGGGATGCGCCCCATTTAGAAAGGCATCATTGGTAGCATATCTCAGATCCCTCATATCCCAAACGTCACCAAATATCCTTCAACAACTGCCACTTGGCGGCCAAGACGTTGTGCTCACGGGGTACCAGGATAAATGACCCATCTCCACGATAGATAGCTCACCAATCCCTCCACCGGAGAGCCGCAATCAAAATAGGGGCTGTAAAAATCCGATCGTCATATTCTATGAATGTCTATGAGTATTGAATTACCCTGTGGTAAACATACAAAAAGCTATTGAACATGGCCATTTATAGTTGATTTACCCATTAAAAATTGTGATTTTCCATAGTTGTATGTTAGTTTACCAGAGGGTACAGTAGCTATCATTCTCAAAAAACACCAAGAACGGCTCCAAAACGCCATCGCGCCTGAAGCCACTCTGCCACACCCACAGGGCCGTGCACCAAGCTCCACCCTCCCTGTTGCGATGCCAGAAAGGCGGGTTGAAACCCAAATATAATGTACATATATATATATATATTATTATATATATATTATATTATATTATATTATATTATATTATATTATATTATATTATATTATATTATATATATATCTATATATATATACCTGTATATATATATACCTATACATACATATACCGATACCTATGTAAAATGTGTGTAATATTAATTTGTACTCTGGCACATTTGCAAATTTTGAGAATTATGTTTCACCGATTCTTCAAGGGTAAAACAGCAATAGATCAGCAGCATGAGGATTTGACCATTCAAACAGCGGACAACTTGTAGTGATGGGTTACCAGCAGGGCATGCAAGCTACATGCACTGGGAAATGTATCTGGATGTATATGTCAATGTCTGTTCAACTTAGGCGTGTACGTGAAATCAATATAATATATGTACATAACAAGCTGTCCGCATGGGAATACAATACATAACTACAAGCGAACCAAGATCACAAATCAGTACTTTAAAGGACGTTGGACGGTTTGGTTTGTTTCCAAAGTAGTATCCACCCGCCACAAATTGATCTTAAGTTTGCGAGCTTGGAAAGTCCTGATGATCGCACCGCTCCTATTAGGACACCCAAAGACTGTGTGAATCACTACAGCTCCGTGATGATTTTACCATCCCAGATCAACCCAGCAAGCCGGATCCCTCCCTTGGGCGCTTGAAACCAAATGATGGCTGCCATGACTTGATGGTGCCGTGATAGAACTGTGATAGAACTGCCAAGTAGCAAAGATCAACAAAGATTAAATCCCTACTATGTTTGATGGTTGAATCTACGTGTTTTTCATCGTGAAATCCACGTCATGCAGCACGCCTGCATATTCCTGACCACACCGTACGATGGATACGCTGGCCTCGCACAGCGTCGCTAATATACAACTGCACCCCAGTTGGCATACCCTCCGGTGGATAAATAAACATGGCAATGGGAAACCCCTGCACTAGATATGAAGCTTTGAGAGGGAAAATCATAGGAACATGGCTGGGAAAATCCCCTCACTAGCTGAAAATAGTTCTCTTCTCATACGGCCATCATTTGGGGATATCATCCCCTATACACCTCACCATCATCCCGTAGCGTCATCCCGTTATATCCGCGTTGTAGGGTCTAAACTCACGTAGGTCGTAGGTGTTTACCAAACCCATGGGGTTTTCCCACATTTTTCTGTATGTTTCCCCAGTAAAGCCCATTAAACCTTACCATTAAACCACGGTTAAATTTAAATCCCATGAAAATGTCATGAAAATGTCATGCCTGGCGCGCCTGCTTTGCGATCGCACCAAACCAGCGTCCGGCCTGGGGGGCTTCGAACCTGACAGTGACAGGCTGTGGCTGGCCGGCGCAATAGATCGATACATAGATAGATAGATAGATAGATAGATAGATAGATAGATAGATAGATAGATAGATAGATAGATAGATAGATAGATAGATAGATAGATCATTCTGATATCTATCATAACATTTTTTTGGGCTTCTAGAAGTAACTGATATCTCTGTATCAAATATATCCTATGTCATGCATAGATGGGTTTGTCCTAAAACTGGGGGGATAGCCCAAAATGGGCATTTTAATGTAGGAAATGATCATAACCATTGGTTTTGGGGTACCTTATTTTCAGTCAAACCAATATTGTGTATAAATTATATATATATAATACATACACAATTGCATGATCATATATACGCCCCATATATAAGTGTGTGACTTATATATATTATATATATATATACATATACGGTAGGGGGAGTAGGTTCTCCGATAGGACGTCAATCAGGATCATTGAATTTGAGAAAAACAATGTTTTACTGTGGTAAAATGGAGATGTTTGATGTAGTTCATTTCATGTTTGATGTCTTTCAATTACGGATCAAAAATTTCTCGTCCGTCGAAGTTGAAGTCGTAGATGGACCATGACAACTTTTTTTGTGTGTGTTCTTTTTTCCCCATTGGAATTACGAGGTGCACATTTAGTGATATATCAAAGATCATTGGAAAAGGGCATAATGTACTGTGTTTCCACTGGTATTTTGATGTGATGTGGTTTTTCATTAGGAATTCTCAGTGTTTTTGCATATCATCAAAATTTCCCAGTGCTGTGAGTCAGCTGTTTTTTCTGTTTCAGCCGTCCCATGGTGCCTCTTTGAACACTAACGTTGGCTGGCGGCAACTTTTCATTTCCAGCTGCCGAAAGCGTTCCAGTGCTTTCACGACACTTTCCAAACCAGGCTTTTTGTTTGGATAGTGCACTGCTAGAACGTTGCATCCACGTCCACGCAAGTTACATGAACGTTGCTGCACCCCACCCCACCCCACCACATAACATAACATCACCGTAGCATCAACGTAGCGTCAACGTAGCATCCACGTCCACGCAAGTTACATGAACGTTATTGCACCCCACCCCACCCCACCCCTTCCCCCCCGGGAAACCCCCTCCCCCTAGGGTATGTATACATATATATATATATATCATGACTGTGAGACATTATGATGTACTATGATCAATGACGGTTTACAGTGTAGTGTATCTACATCTACGGTCTTTGTTTCAACTGAGGTTGACGAAAAAATGTGTCTGAGATGGATTGGGTAACAGTACATTGCATATTTTTCTTCCTGGCGAAATCCCCATTTATGGTGCATGTTTCACAGATTCTATCCGCGTTTTTTTGCTGCCTTTCCATGCTTAATGGCTGGAGAAATGCCAGCTTTTACAAGCTAAAACAATCTAGAACCACCATGTTTGTTGGCAGGAAGGGGCTCCCTAGGTATAAGTTGGTTTATTACCCCATTTCACTATAGTTTTCTCCCCTGTAAACCCTAGTTAACCAAGTTATGTGCGTCAACTTAGAGCTAACCAACTGGGGCCCCTTCCTGGGGGCACAACAAATCCAGCCATTTTTGTGGCCCCGGACAGGCACGGCAGTGCCAACCCAGGTTGCTCCACACCTCAGAGGAGCTGCTTTTCCGTGGTGATCGGAGTAGGGCATATTTACATATATAATATGATATAATATGATTAATTATAGATATATATATATATCATATATACAAATATAATATACATATATGTATATAGAATTATATATAGGTGAACTGAACTGACTATGGTTACTAACCGGCTACTAAGTGGGAAGATCCTCCAGGGGCAGAAGAAATATCCTCCAGTTTCCACAAAGCTATGCGGATTTCACCGAGGAAATCTACAAATTCCCTTGAGGTTCAACCAGGAAAAAGGAGATTCGACCACCAAAATGTGGAAATGGGTTTTGGTCAACAAATACAGGTTTGAACTGCAAGAGTGGGACGCAAACAACATGAGAAGTGCATTGAACAGTTGAACTAATTGCCGATGTTGAGGCAAAAACAAAAATAATCTGGAGTCCAGCCACCAAACAAGTGCACCAAAACAGTCCATGCAGTTAGCTAGTATAAATATTCGCCAGTTTCCACAAAAAAGGCGAATTCAACGCACCAAACAAATGCATATTACCAAGAGGACGCGGACGGTAAACCGGCCACAAGTATAAACACTGGGCCACCAATGAAAAGGGGGGTTCATTCATGCCTGTACACACATAGTATATATATATATGTATATATATATGAGTAGGTATACGTGTACATAATACTGCAAAGTTATGTTGTAACAAATGATTGTCTGGTTGGTGGTTTCAACCCCTCTGAAAAATATGTCGCTTGGGATGTTTCTTCCCAATATATGGAAACATAAAAAATGTTCCAAACCACCAACCACCAACCAGAATATGCAAACACCGTCGTATCGATCTGTGCGTCGTGTCTTCGATCGCACAGCTCGGGCTCACGAGCAACGTTTGGTCGTCGTAGGTATCTCGATACGCCAAGGTGCGATATCTGTTTGGGTGGTGTTGTCCAACTTTGCCTGCGATCAGATTGCTGGGTGCGGTCCCAGGATGTTTAAGGTATATACCCTGTAGGTTAAATATCGATGTGATGTGGTGTTTGCCCTCCATTTGTAGACACATGTGTAGATATTTTCCGAACGGGAAACCATGTTTTTTTCACTTCACATCTAGGTTAGTTTGCCCAGGGGTAGGTGCCTGTAGCGAATCAAGTACTATAATAAAATTGATCAAATCGCTGCGTCGAATGACGTACGATTTTGGTATGTGCTGTTGTGTGTGTACCCAAATTTCGGACCTAGTGGGCTTGCTTTCATTGGCTGAAGCAAGCAGCTTACCAAGATCAAGCGAAAATGATTCCCATGGTGATGGTACTAATCCAAATGATATCTGGACGGAAGTCCGGGGACCATTAACGGAAGGAAAGGGTCAGTTTCAGAAAAAGCATGTTCTTGTGTCATCTTCTTCGGTTGAAAGAGGCTCATATCCTTCAACCAGATAGTTTCAGCCCTGGAATGACATGAGCCAACGGGGTGCAAATGAGCATGGATCAATCATTGTGTACCCCACGATGATTGAATCGTTTGCAAAATGAAGTCTCAAGAGGCTGAAGGACCCATCTAATCAAACACACGTTTCTGGACCAAGCATCAAAATTGTGCTCAAGATCCAGTGTTTGTTTAACATAGCCATGGAAAATCACCATTCTTAAGAACGGTAAACCATCTATAAATGGGCCATCTATACCATGGCTATGTTAAATAATCAGAGGGTATATTCCCATGATATCCCCATACTATGCTGTTTCCTACCCATCGACATGCCGACATCCCCACGCTCACGCGGAAGCCGGAGAGCCTTGGAATGGTTAGAGCCTCGCCAGTGGAAATTCACCAAGTCGTCCATATCCCCCCAGAACTGCTATGTAGAAAAATGTGGTCTGGGCAAGTCTCGCTTCCAATTCTGCCAAGTCAGATTTTAGACCCCTTCTAGCCTTCCCATTAAAAATGGTGATTTTCCATAGTTATGTTAGTTTACCAGAGGGTACATCCTTCTACCCAACTAACTGTCCTGTGCTTCAGGTCCTGTGACTTCTCCACTCTCGCCGAGGAGCCGGAATTTTGTGAAATGGAAAAGCTGTAGCTCAAGCTTCTGCCATCCTAACGACCAGTTGGGACATCCAGGAGATGCTGCATGATCCTCACAAGTCCTCCAAAATCCAGAGGTTTAGTGCAAGTGGACTGCAAGATTTCTAGATAACTTTGGATAGCTGGGAATGAATCCTAAGCCAGATTTGGTTGGCCCTTTTCGGGATTATTCGCCACATTTCACCATCATCTATGCATGTTTGGTCGTGTCGTCAATTTGGCCAAGCATCTGAGGGTCGCCAGTCACTGGGTGTCAGCAAACTCCTGAATGGCACGTGAGCGCAGCGACCCTTGACATTCCGGGGGTCCTGAATGCCTGAAAAATCAACAGACTGAATGGGAAATCCACAATAAATGGAGGTCTTACTGGGAAAATTGTCTGGAAATGAGCCATGGTCCATTGTCATGTCTGATGACTTGCCCACCAATCAAACATGGCTTGCTGGAAAATCCACGAAATTTTGTTCGGCGATGAGTTCCCCATTCAACTTCCATGAGTTTCGGCGGGGGGATTTTGTATTGCCACGATTGATTACCGGACAGTAGTGACTCAAGTAGGTGTTCTTCCCAAACCGCCCAAAGGTCACGCTGGAGGAATGATGAAAACCATCCTGTGTCATGTTTTTCCTGGATTTCTGTGGAGACCATGGCCATTTTCGCGGTTTCGCGGTTTCTGGCCATCCATTTTCGCGGTTTCTGCACACCTGTGGAAGAGATCCCATTTTTCGCTGGGGAAATCCGATTTTTGTTGGGTGAAATCCCTGATTTCTGTTGATGAAATTGATGAATGTCCCCATTTCTGTCGGTGAACACCGGACTTTTTGTTGCTTAAATGCCCCCTGTTTGTTCCTCCCGTGTTCAAACCGCACCGGCATCTCCCAGCTGCCACCAAGCGACACCCGTTTGCCGCGCGCTCCCAAGCTGCTGGAGCGTGCGGGGTCCAAATGTGAGGACTGCGCGCAGCGGTTGAAGGGAAACCATCAACCAAGGGACACCGGATTATGTTGGGAAACATAGGAAAAATGATGGGAAACATCAGGAAACCATCTTTTTTCCCCAACAGTTCTAGAAAAAAAGGATGCTATATACGCATGTTCCTGTTATTTTTCCCTGCAATTCTGGAAGGGGTAAGAATGGACCTAGACAAGGCTGGTCATTCAGCCTGCGCCGTATTGGAACTTGTCGTGCACATCAGCACAACTTTGGTGTTCTTTCCTATTGATCTACATGACCATCCTTGAGAAAAATTTTGCGCCAGTGGTCAGCAATTCTTCAGGGAATCATCCATGATCAGTTACGATAATGGAAATTCAGGGAATCATCCCTGATCAGTAAAGACTATAGTAGGTTCTTCAGGGAATCATCATCCATCAACCATCTTCAGTTCCATGATCATCTGAGAATTTGTCTTATCCACCCGAACTGCCCAAAGATGGTAGATGATCCATGATTGTCCTGGTTGCCGCTTACTGCTCTCACTGGCTCTGTGGCTCATCTCAAACGTTATCCCATGGTGCTTCATCCACCGTTTCGGCGAGCATGACCCCGGTGTGAATAAGCGGCCCACGGCGGGAATGTTTTTCGTTCAGCACATAGAATCCATGGAATCCACTCTGTAGATGTGTTGTTTTCTATTGCTGAAATATTCCAATGCTTCATGGTCGATTCCATGCCTATGTTCACTGGGAAAGTTACTCTTTGTCTTTGTCAAAAATTGCTGAGATTCCCAGCTTTCATGTATGTAAATCTACAGAATTACGGTACGATATGCGAAGTATTTCTATAATTGCAAAGCCGCGGCACGGCACACTTAAGTCATTGAAAGTCATTGAAACCCCAAAAAAAACAATCCACTATCGCCAAAATGGTCAGAGTTAAACTCCTTAAAATCACACACGAACGCAGAACCCAAAAAGAAAGCCGTCATCAAGGTCCTCCATTTGTATCGTCCCCATGAAACCAGTGATGAACAACGGGCATGGTGAACTGAAGAACATCGGCATTAAGACACCCCAGTGTGATTTTCTATTGATCCAATTTATGTAAATAGATTGAAATATGTACTGTGGTAATCTATGGTAAACCTGCCATAAACCTACCATTTGGGGATGGTTTATACAACCCGTAAAAATGGGTGAACTCCCGCCGCTCGAGCGCCTCATTCCTCTGCTGTGTCACGGACGACAATTCCAAACTCACCTCCGACTCAGACGGCAACTCAGGATCTGCAAGAGAACTGGTGTGTGTTTTTTAAACGTCCCAAGAATATGAAACCAAAGAGAAAATTGGTATATCATGTGATACAACATCATGGGGAGAAGCAACAATGTAATGTGTGGTTGTCTGACAGTGGGGAAATGACACCCAAAATGGATCAAAATGGCACATTTGTGTAGTGAAAATGATTTTCGACACCACTGAATGTTTGAGTTAAGTACCCGCAAGTATCCCATTCTTGGACAAAGCAATGTGGATGTCGACTAGGTTAATTCCTGGGGGTACTTCCAGGAAGAGATCCAGAAACTGGTCCATTCTCACGAGGGGCAAATAGGCCCCTAAACCTGTAGCTGTGATAGTCGCAGCAAGATATATAGAAATGACATCAATTTAGAACAATATTAATATATATATATAGCATATAAATACATGTATACAAGTATGTACTGTACATGTTTAATCATATTTTTTATATAATTATATATTATACTTGTTATATATATAAAATCTTGTTGTATAGATATATATATATATATTTATTTATTTATTTATTTATTTATTTATTTTTATCCGTATATTTACATCCATATGTTAATTAAATATATAATTAATACATAATATTATATATATATATATGCGATAGTGATGGCCAGCAGTTCGCCCACGTCAGAGCCGCCTCACCGAACTCTGAAATGTCTCTTCGCCGTATATCTGCCGCCTCGAACGATTTCGGAGGTGAAATCCCGACGGAGTCCCCTTGAATTCGAACCTGAACCCCTTGAAATACCCTCTGGTTATGTCAAAATAGCTATTGAAAAATTGCCATTTATAGTGAGTTTTCCCATAAAAAATGGTGATTTTCCATAGTTATGTTAAATTACCAGAGGGTACCAATGTCAGCTACAAAAAAAAAAAACATGGAAATTCCATGAAATCCTCTTCTTTGCTACTTGAGACCCCACTTTTCTCACAAAATATTCGCTGGTTGGAGCCATCGATGCTACTTGAGTCGTCTCAAGTCCCTATTGATCTATTGAATCCCATAGTTTTTATGTTATACCCTCTGCTTAGCTAACATAACTATATGGAAAATATGCGAAAATCACAATTTGTTATAGGTAAATCAACTATAAATGGCTTTCAGAGAAATTCTTGGGACAGAAGACACCGTGCTCATGCTTGGAACGTCCCAGGAATCACTGTGACGGACCCCTTCTAAATATCATCAATTTTAGTCGCACTCTGGCTTCGTGGCTTCGTGGTCAAGCTGTGACTAGTACCCATAAACCATCTCTGTTGGTTACGAGCCAGTTAGGGTCAGTCAGTTTTGGTGGTTGAACCCAGATTTCATCGGCGAATACTGTATCCCAAGAAGAATCAACCATGTTTCCTGATATCCCACTTGTTGCTGTTTCATCGACCAACTTCTACCGGGTATAGGGTTGTCACCTGAACACACGCACTTAGCGGGATCGTCACATCTTTCTTGGCCCGAAAAAAAATTCACCCAACCACTACAAGCATCATTGGGAAGGAGATAACCCAACTCACAACCATGTCAAATCCGTTCCCACAAGTCTGGGTACATTACCTTCATGGGGATTCAACACTATTGTGTTTATCAAGGGCGAATCTTAATCATCAACAACCAGGATTGAATCCCCATGAGGCCCATGATACTATTTGTCATAAACCAAAAATGCGGTTACCCCTCCAACAAACCAACTGACCAGTGGAAAAAGGATTTTTGGGGGTGTTAAAGCCAGTTAGATCCTCCTGTTCATCCAACTTTGGCTGGTTCAACCAAAAAAAACTCGTTTCTACCACAATTCACCTCATAAAATCATATATATATATATTACTAATATCAGAATAGCCATTCACCATTCACCATCTCCAAAAACCTTCCGCCTTCCGTCCTTCAGCAAGGTATTTCCAACGTTCCCAGCCTCCGAGAAGATCTCCAATGAAGGCGATCGTGAGCGGCCGACCCCCGGGGAGCGAGGTCGTAAGGGCAACGTGGACGCCTTGCGCTTGGCCTCGCCGGTGAGGCCAGTGCCGTGGCCATAGAAAAAGCGGTGATGGACCGTTGGGAAAATGATGGTCCATCATGATGATGATGATGATGATGATGATTAATTATTATTATTATTATTATGGTCCATCATCATCATCAGTTAGAAAAATGTGGGAAGATGTTCTCCCATGATGGTCATAGTATGTCATAGTTATCGACTGTATCCCATGAATCCGATTCGTTTTTTTTAATTCATCAAAAATGCCATAGTTTATGAGGTGATTTATCCATGGGATAAATGGGGATTTAAAAAAATTGCTCATGATTTATGATGTTAGGGGCTACCAGGCTACAGCCCCGACCGTAAGCCGGGATGGTTGAAATTTCCACATGGACCGAAGGAGGTGTGAACCACGGACCGAACCAAAAATAGTTATCAGACCACCCAAGGTTTTTTTTCTGAGGAGAATTGGGGGGTGCATTTCCACTTCAGTGGGTATATGGACATAATTAGTGTATGGGGGTTGTATCATACCTCAGCTGCCCCCGCAAATCACTGGTTCCGTGAAGAAACACGTGTGATTTCCAATCTGACATGGGTGTGTTTGAGAATGGGGCCCCAAATGCAAAGGTTCAACAGGGAAGATGCGTGACACGCACCATTGGATCTTGTTTTTTTTTCCCCATTTTCAGACAAAGCCACATCAGTTTCCATATTCGAATGGTTTCCCCAGCAATAATTCAAATCCAAAAATTGGTTAAACCTCATTCCGAATTCACCAACAGTTGGTTAAACCTCCAAGTTCAATTCACCAACAGTTCTGGGTAAATTGTCATATTTCACTAACCTGAATTGTTGGATATTCGTGTGCCATTTGGGGATGATTTCCCTTCAAAAACCACAATTCCAGGCTTCGGGAGAACAGTTTCCCCGTTGCACAGGCCCACCTTCCGGAACTCACCTGCAGGGATCCCATGAATGTGGATAGCCGAAGGTTTCTAAACGTTGAAAATTCTACATTCATAATCATTCATATACATATTTACATATGCATATATATATATATGCATATATATATATGTATACATATATATATACATATATATATGTATGTATATATATATATATGTATATATATATATGTATATATATATATATATGTATATATATATATATTATTATTATTATTATCATTATTATTATTTATTAATTATTAATTATTATTATATAATTATTATACCATTGTTTTCCAAAAACACTCATTTCCCAGTATTTATTGAAACTATGTCAAATTGGGGCATCGTCTCCCCCATCGATCATTTTCAATGACTCGAAAGCTTCGGATCCCTGGCCCGTCTGTCAGGACACATACGGTATGTATGATATCAAATGTGTTATTTTTGCTGGTTAATAGTGGTTAATAATGGGTTAATAGTGGCTTAATAGTGGTTAATAATGGAACATACCCTCTGGTAAACATACAAAAAGCTATTGAAAATGGCCATTTATAGTGGATTTACCCATTAGAAATGGTGATTTTCCATAGCTATGTTAAATTACCAGAGGGTAACTGGTTGGTGGTATACCTACCCCTCCGAAAAATGATGGAGTTCGTCAGTTGGGATGGATGGAAATTCCCAATATATGTGAAAATAAAAACTGTTCCAAACCACCAACCAGATAATAATTATATATAATTATCACATCTGAGTGCTTATGTCTATATATATATATATATGGGCATAATATACATAGCACCCCCCAAGGAAAAAAACACTAGTGATTCTTGCCTCCGAGAGTGGTCGGGCAGGACATCCCAGCCTCAGCAAGGATACCCCGAAGTCATGGCTAAATCATGGTCGAAGAAAAAAAACATCGCAAAATATGTGGTGGTGGAAGTTTGGACTATACATACATATATATATATATTAAGAATAGAAAACAACAAATCATGGTTTGTGAACCATCAATATACAGTATGTCAAAAATATGTTAAACATAGAAGCCATATGCTAGGTTTCATGGAAATAGAAGGTAAGTTGACGACAAATTGCTGTGCCCAGAGAGCTAAAAATTGCAGGCTCAGGCTCTGCTATTCTGGGTCAATCAAAGTCGCTCAGCATATCTGTTATATGTCAAATACTTCTTTAAATGTCATTGAATTGCCAAGGCTATGGATGCATGTGTCACCAGCATCAGTTGTGAAATTTGTTGGTATGATTTTTCCTTGCCTCTGTGAGACCCCTGTCACATCGTGTGCTAAGCAAGGCACAAAAAAAAACAAGAGAAACACATCGAAATTAATATGTTATTTTGCATAATTGGCGGTTATGTCAAGAAAGACTAACTAATTACTATGCAATGCATATTCTTTCCTGTTCGAATTCCCGCCCAGTGTCTTCAGATTTTGAAAGACCGTGAGGGTGGAGGCCCAAAAAATCAGCTGCAAACACTTCAAACACCATGCGATCGGTCTCAGACCCACGTGTTCAAGTGACAGACTTCCTCTGAGTTCACTGGAGCAGGCTGAAATCATGCAAAAATGATTTACGTACTGCTGGCACTGTGCAGGAAGGACTATCAACGTGGAAAATATCAGCAAATATATGCAAATATCGATGCCTGCCATGCTATCCCCTTTCCGCCATCGCCACTGCATGGTCCATAGCATCTGGGCATATGCCATTGATTTTCGGATGCAAGTTCATCAACTTCAGGATCACATTCAGGATCACATCAGATGATTTCAGGTACCCCCTGGTAGAAACATAACTATGGAAAATCACCAATTTTAATGGGAAAACTCACTATTTCTATGGCCATGTTCAATAGCTATGTTGACATAACCAGGTCGGGTATTTTCAGATAGCCGATCACGCCGATCGCCTCGCCAACCATCCCTTCACCATCCCCCTTCGGAGAGCGCCTCCAAGGGCGAAGCTGCCCAGGTCTTGTTTCGATTCGCTTTCCGGCTCTCTGTTCCTTCCTGTGCCGCTGTTTCTTAATGGCTCCCAGCAAGAACGAACCGAAGGAACCGAAGGAAACGTAGGATAGAATATGCTTAATTTAGGTGAATTATCCAAACATCTGATAGAAATATCATGATATAATATATATGTATGTATGTATGTATGTATGCATGCATGCATGCATGCATGCATGCATGCATGGATGGATGTGTGCATGCATGCAATGCAATGCAATGCAATGCAATGCCAATGCCAATGCCAATGCCAATGTAATGTAATGTAATGTATGTAATGTATGTAATGGATGTAATGGATGTAATGGATGTAGTGGACGTAATGTATGTAATGTATGTAATGGATGTAATGGATGTAATGTATGTTATGTATGTTATGTATGTTATGTATGTTATGTATGTTATGTATGTTATGTATGTTATGTATGTTATGTATGTTGTGTATGTTATGTATGTTATGTTTGTTATGTATGTTATGTATGTTATGTATGGTATGTATGTTATTTATGTTCTGTATGTTATGTATGTTATGTATGTTATGTATGTTATGTATGTTATGTATGTTCTGTATGTTATGTGTGTTATGTGTGCTATGTGTGTTATGTATGTTATGTATGTTATGTATGTTATGTATGTTATGTGTGTTATGTGTGTTATGTGTGTTATGTATGTTGTGTATGTTATGTATGTTATGTATGTTATGTATGTTATGCATGTTATGCATGTTATGCATGTTATGCATGTTATGTATGTTATGTATGTTATGTATGTTATGTATGTTATGCATGTTATGTATGTTATGTATGGATGAATGTATGAATGTGTGAAATGGTGCACATGATGTTAATTTATGGATCATCCCATTTCTATGGTTCTTTCTGTTTAACCTTTGAACCCACCAACTAGACGATATAAAACCGAGAATCATTGACAGCTTCGTGGGGAATACTGAGATGGTTTCCAATACATCGGAGATGTTTCAGATGACATGGCTACATCAACATCTGGACAATTTGTGAATACTTGTGGTTATTTGGGTAATCACATAAATCGAGTTAAATGGATAGATAATTTGAATACATGGATAGATAGCTAGATAGCCAATTGGTCATCATTTCCGAGGCTGTTTGAGGTCGCCTTTTATCTGCGTCAGACCGGCTGGAACATCTATCATTTCTAGATGGGTTTCATGGATTTTCCCTGGCTAAAACCCTCCAATTTCTGGAGGATTTCCCAAGATGTACCTTTCCCATTTCAAAATCCTCCAGAAAATCTTGGAAATTTAGGTGAAAATTTGGGTGATTTTCTGAAAATCAATTTAAGTGATGTTTGCTGTTTGCATATGGTTTCTGATTTCATGATGATTTTCATGGACATAAAACTACGAAGAACGCGGATGGTCCTCTCTGAAACTAAGGATTTTATCCCTTTTGAGCTTGGTCAGATTCCGGAGATTCCCCTCTGGACTGATAATCCCCAGCGATTGTTGAACTGTGATAATCCCCAAACTAACCATCAACCATCATTTATACAATATCTGGTTGGTGGTTTGAACCCCTCTGAAAAATATGAAAGTCAATGGGAAGGATGACATCCCATATATTATGGATATATATATATATATCAAAATCTTGATCAGCTATATCCACATAGCTGAATCCCATGGTTAAACCATGTTAAACCTCTTTTTTCAATGACGAACTCATCATCAACGGGGGATGTTCTGGGGTAGATCGCAGCGCAGCTGCCCAGCGCAGGGCCTCCTCCGGTGTCTGGGTGCTGCTGTCGATCAGCTTGGCTTTTGACGGCCTCAGAACCGGTCAGCAATGAGGGATCCACCACGGACTTCAATGAATAAATGGGAGATCTCCAGGATCCTAAAATGGAGGTACGTTAGTACCATATTTCAGGCCATATTTTGCTGGGGATATTCCCTTACATAGGCCTTACAATGGCCATTGATTCAATGAATTTGGGGAGGAGAATTCTGAGATAACAAGGTTGGTGCTATACCTACCCCTCTGAAAAATGATGGAGTTCGTCAGTTGGGAGTACTATTCCAAATATATGGAAAAATAAAAGCCATGTTCCAAACCACCAACCAGATTATATATAGGATAATGATAATATGATAATGATTTATGATTAGAAATGGAGAAGGAAACTCCACTATGGGATTATATAATATATGTAGTAAACATTGATCATCCAACTCCGATTTGGGCTTATGAAATTAGGCATACCCCTATACTAAATGGGGTGTGAAACGACATTCATGGACGGTGACTGGGATAGTTTATGGCATTGGCTTTACCACATAGTGCTTCGTGTAACCAAAAATGTTAGATGGCAATATAAATCTACCCTCTGGTAAACAAACATAGCTATTGAAAATGGCGTGATTTTCCATAGCTATGTTAGTTTACCAGAGGTTACCATCCCTGTATAGCCAAAACATGGCATCAACAACGCTAGGACCAGATGTGACCAACAAACGATTTTACCGTCGCTGTCGGATTATCCCCAGTACGGATCTAAGGTTCATGTCGTTACAGCAAAATCCAGTGGCCTATCAGTATGTTCCCTATAACATGCCGTGTTTGGAGTGTAAGACGCAGCCATGTTCATCCACCGTACTTGACTCATCAGTCATGTTCATGTTCATCCCTGAAGTTTTGCATGAATGAATTTGAGAATCTACATGAGCCAAGCGCTGATGGATTTCAGTGATTCAAGTCCAACGCCTGTCAGGTCGCATGATTTCATGCCGTGACAAGAAAAATATGCGCTCATCTGCCAGGGTTGTTTGAACTTTGAACTTCCAATTTTCCCGTGGCGTGGAACTGGACGTTGATTTCTTGGTGGTGGTAACATTGAGGAACTGGACTGTGTTCATCCCAATGTCCCAGTGGGTCCCCAAAAAGACAGACCAGTTTTTCAAGGATGTGGAACAAAACCAGCCATGTTTTTGCAGATTTTCCAGGTGTCCAAACTTTCTGCTGTAGCCTCCGGTGCTCAAACATGGCAAGCTCGAGAATCCTCCATCTAATTCGACTATGTTCACACTCGTTCGTTCGTTCGTGCCATAGGTACGGTTTGTGAGACTGCGTGAAACATTCACAAATAAGCGGGTCGTGTTTCCATACCCGTAGGATCCCGTAGGCGTCCCCCCGGCCCCCCGTCAGAAGAGCATCGCATCCAAATAGTCTCTCCTAGTTTTAGTTTCGATTAGGAACGTCCAGGACAAAGCCTGGTCAGAGCAAAAGGACAATCATCTTTATATTTCACCGGCAGTAGCTGCGTTCGTTCGATTCTTTGTAGCTGGTCAGCAGAATTTGTGATATCACTGCCGTCTGTTCGGATTTGTTTCCAAATCAAGCTAAGGGTGCTGTGTGTGTCCATTGTGTTCTTGGCCTGCCAACTCTCCTAAACAGCACCTCTATTGGTGATGCACTGTTACGTTTAAAACTGAGAATTCTCATTGGATTGTCGCTGTCAAGGTGTATTTTTTTCCCTGCAAGTGGAATTCTCCTGCGCGCAAGGGTTTCCAGTATACTTTTGATTTTAATGTGGCCTTGTGGCTTACACTCAAGTTTGCTCTTCTGAACACTTCCAGATTCGTGTTTGCACGGTTGACAAATGTAGTCGTCATCTCTACGGTCTCCAGGGCGTATAGGAGCTTGGAGCGTATAACAGCACTATGTTCACATTAAAACCTCCATTTACCAGGAGATTTCCCAATTTGCCATGCTTGATTGTCCTAATATCCCATTATATCCCTATCATATCACGATTTCTGTTGGCTAAATCACCATTTTTGATGCATCAACCATTATTGGCTACAAGTATGTGATCATGCTGGGGGTTGTAACCAGAGATGTTTCGTCCAAAGCACAGTTCAATGGCATGCTCCGCCTTGCAAAATACAGCCAGCCTCAGGGTCGATACCCTGGAATCCCCTGGGGGCTGTGTTCGCACCTTACAGTAGCTGCTAGTTAAACGGTGCCCCAGCGAGCTAAATCACGAAGTTTGGATCAAATAACTAAGTGATGGGTGGCGATGCAATGATTCTAGTCTTCTAGTGATATGGGTTGAAAACCAGCTTATAACACAGGAACTACCCCAAGGGGTTATGGATCTTCATCCGCCCGATGGTTGAAACTAGAGATTTCAATCCCAAGCCATAGCATCAAACATGGCGCCGTCCACGTTTGGAAGTGTTCAATGTTTTTTATCACCTACGAGGGATTTTCCATGTGATGTTTGATGACACCGGATGCTACCGGATGCGCGAAAAACCAGCTGTGGAGTACAGGGAAGCCCTCGAAAAAGGATCTGCAAATAGTGGGTTCTCCGCGTCTGTGTTTAGTTGACAGGAGGGTACAGTACTTCCTGTGAAAATCAAATTCATCATGGAGTCATGGAGGGTACATCTGTGTTACAAGCCTCATTCTATTGGCGGATTCCAACACCCAGCCCGGCTGGGAACCATGGTGGCACTATTAGGTGAAACCCTGGAGAGAGAGATTGGATATGTCACGTTGCCCACCCCAACGATGAGGGTTTAAGAATTGCCCTTGAAAAACGGCTGGAGATAGCCTTGAGAAAGGCCTGCGTACGGTTACTTTTCAAACGTACCCAGGTTTTGAATGATATGGTGCCTGAAAATGGGGATACCCCTAAGTTCTAGCAGTCTGACCTGGGCAAATTAGGCTTTAATTTATTCACCAACCTGAAATAAGGCTTTGGGATAATTTCCCTTTCTAACCATGATTCCACTGAGTTCTCAGTGAGGTCAGTATAATCTACCCAGAGTCTTAATGGGGAAAAATGTGATAAAGGATCAAATTTTGCGGTACCCTATTTTCAGACACACCCATATATAACTCTAACCAGGGTTTCAAAGGGGAGCCACATAGTTTTTTAGCCAAATGATTTCCAGTTAATGGATGCATGGATGCACTGTCATATAGCATGGACAAGAAAAAACATATGAAAAAACATGTGTCTGACCATAGATGGACCTCTATTAAACAGTGCCCAAACCTTTCTGTCATACCCCCTTCTACGATATTAGGGGGGGGCCATATTGGATTGGTTCACAATTTCAAGTTTTTACCACTCAGTCTAACGCATGTACCGACAACCATTTGTGGTTTATATTCAAATTTTTGGTTGATATAAATATATATATATATATATATGTATATTATTTGTATATATATATATCTCTCTCTCTCTCTCTCCTCACGACATAGTCACGGTTTCTCCTCTAACTCCCCATATTTCGGTGATAAATACCAGGTTTTTTTGAGTTTCATGATGTTTTTCCAGAAAATATGTCCCCCTTTTTTCGTCGCCACTTTCTCCGTTCTCCAAGGGGCCACTTGGGCTCAGTCACACCGGTCAAAGTGATGCGGGCCACCATGCGGCGGCCTGGTCAGTGACTGGATCCATTTGAGATTGGAAAATCTCCATAACTTTAAAAAAAAAAAAACATGCAGCGAGCTATTGGCTATTGGGATATCCCCATGACTCAGGATTTCCCCCAGAAATTCTCTGCATTCCATGACCTCAGAGGTCTCAGAAGTCATGTTTTCTGCGTCAAAGATGGATAGAAGTGATATAAAAAAAAGAACACGGTGAGGTGAATGGGGTTAGAATCCATATGTGTTAAATGGTTAAATATATGTTAGAATCAATATTTGTTAGAATCAATATTTGTTAGAATCAATATTTGTATCAGAATCAGTTAGAATGGTTAGACATGGTAAATGGGGGATGCAACTGGATACAACCATCCAAAAATGGCTAAGGAACTTGCTGAAATAGCGACATCAATCATCTCACAGTATGATTCGACATCAGGAATTCAGCGAAAAAACGGTGACTTCAAAAACTGGAAAACTGGAGGTGTGCAACCACCCTTCGAAGGAGGGGGCACAGATTTTTTTCACATATCATTCTCATGGTTGTTTACCTACAATTTTGGCTCAAGGAAAACATTGCCCCCTGCATCTGTGCTTGTTGTTGGGGTTGACGACTGTAGTTCTAGTGTCATCCTACTTTCTTTAAAAAAATCCACATAATGTTTAACAATTTCACCAAATCTCGGGCTTCTGTTGTTTGAATGGAAATATGGTTGAAAGATCTTGAAACTTCCATATTTTCTTCCCGGTATACCCCCCAACTCATAACTCAACCATCATTGATATCTCTTGCATATCCCAACTATATCCCAAGAAAAAATCTCCATCTTATGGATAAACACATTTCATCACATAGTACAGTAGCAATGATGGAGAAAATCATCAGCCAATCGCGAAGTTCATTGATTTACCCTCTGGTAAACTAACATAGCTATTGAAAATTGCCCATAGAAATAGATGGTTTACCTATTAATAGCATGGTGATTTTCCATGGCAAACTGTAACAAATTACCATTGATTTACCCGCCTTGAAAACAATCAGTATGGGCCGAGACCGGATCTCGAATCTCGTCCGACAACATCATTGCAACTGCCTCAGATGCTGGGGATAACAGAACTGTGATGAATCCAACGTCGAAGTTGCGTCGCGTTTTGTTTGGACGACCCAAAATATGAAGGAATGGAGTGGAAAGCCCAAAAGCCCATTTGATGAAATTTGCTATAAATTGGTAAGAAATGGTTGATGAATGGGTTGATCAATTGGTGATAAACGAATAATAAACGGGCAAGAAATTGGGTAATGAACGAGTAATAATCTCTTCATGTGTATATATATATATACAGTTGTAAATAAATATGTGGGTAACAAATGGGTAAGAAATTGATCTGGTTGGTGGTTGAGCCACCTCTTTGAAAAATGTGAGTCAGTTAGGACAATCATCTGTATAATATACTTGAAACACACAATGTCAAACTTCCAAGCAAATTGAGTTTTTAGAACCCCATGATCTGGACATACCCATGGTTGAGCTTCCAAAAATCTTCCAAATATTGAGGACTTTTGGCAACCTGTTTTGCGCGCTGACAAATTACAAACTTGATTTGAGGCCCTGCTCCTATGTTTCCCCAACAACTTATGACTGCCATTAATCGGGCTTGGTCGGCAGGGCCCTACAAATCATCAAAGCTAATGGCTTTGGGGCCAAAATATAGGGTAGTAGTAGGTAGGTTCTACTGTTTGGTTTATGAAGAATTTGACATATCGAAACATTAATAGTTATATAATTGTTGTGCATCAGCATGGCATGGCCCATTGCTCCAAGATGTTGCACCAGCGAAACGGCGAAACGCCGGTCCCAGGTGTTGTTTTCCGGCAAGTCGCGCAAGCAGCAGTCAGCTGGGGACGTGTGGCGCAACTGATTGGTGGAGCCCACTGCAATGACAACTGGGGTAGGGATTGAAACATAACATCAAGGATCCCTGATATCTTTTAGGATTTTAGGGCCACCAGCAAGTGCGAAACCCTCGGACTGTTTTACAAATTCGGTCCAAACACAAAGTCTTTGTCTTTGATGTTTGGGCCATCAACCGGCTAAACCCTCTCTTCAGCTTCGCAAGCTTCGCCCGGTCACCTGCTGCGGTGACTGTGACTGGCTTTTGGTTAAGTTGAAGTTGATTGTGTTCCTACACATCTTCATGCTGTGAGCAGAAAGTGGTGTCATATTCCTCTTGAAATGATCTATCTAAATCTAAGATCTATCTGTTTCCATATTCTTTGCTTCTTTATATAAATACGTATGATTCGTTGTGTGTTTTCTCCCTTTCTGTTACTTCCATGGTTCAGCACAACGGACCAATTCCCTTCCAAATACAATGGTTGATTAATGGCCCTTAAGATAGAGACCAATCTGGGTAATTTATGATAAATTCATTGATTTGGGGCTATAAACTTGGTGGTGTCCCCAGTACTTGCATGTATTTACCATCCTTTGCGGCGTTTGGTCGTCCACGTTCGGTCGCTCGAAATTCTTGCTTAAATTCCCGTATTGTCCCATATATGAGGGTTTCCTGAAATGGGGGTACCCCCAGTCATCATCCATTTGAATAGGATTTTCCATGAAATAAACCATCCAGCTATTGGGATATCCAAATCATCCATGACTCAGGATTTCCCCAGAAATTCTCGGAAAATTCCATGACCTCAGGGGGTTGGGATTCGATTGGGGGATTTACCGGGCTCATCCCACATGGTGAAATCTGAAAACTGCCAGGCCTGCCAGGAACGACGGGCATCATCCAAGCATCTCAACAGAAAGATCTCCTGAGGCAACGGGTCACCGAGAAAACGCCCAGCTTCAACAACCTAATAATAAACATGAATATATATATATATATAATTGTGCATATATATATAATTGTATATATATATAATTGTATATATATATATAATTGTATGTATATATATATAATTGTATATATAGAATTGTATATAAAATTAGAATTGAATAAAATTAATTAAATATACACTGAAATATAGATGTGAAATTGTGTATCTGAAAATTCTCGGAAAACACACAAAATCCGCTGGTTTATCATCATAATATCATCATGTTCACCATTTTCAAACGCACCTATGTCACCCATATTGGGAAATATCTGCAAACAATGAATTTTTGGTGATATGATATGTCGGTCACTTCTCCACGAACCCCAACATATCCCTTGGGTAGTTTACTAGCTAGAACGAGGTTCGCTGTACCGTCAAAATATGGCATCCAGTTGATTGAATCGTGTTCCTCTTACCAGGGAGCCCCAAATGATCAGACCCTCATCTGGACTTGTAGGGAGCGGGGTGTTTATGACCATGGCAGGGATTGCCAGTCTTCTTGATATATTTTATATATGGGGGAAGAACCAAACCTTCTATGGAAATTGAAGTCGTAGAGTTGTGAAATTCTCGGGGTAGGCCACGTCCATAGTGCGACCCATAGCTTTCCCTTAGGGGGATATTGGGACCCATCAAACCTCCTGAACTGGGATAACTGGATAACTGGATAACCCAACTTGGGGGACTTTCATGGACGATCACCATTTTTACATATTCTTACCATTTACCATTTATATTAATTTATATATATATACATATATATATATACATATATATATATACATCCATTTACATCTGTCTTCTTCGTTTTTTACGCTGTCTGGCAGTCTGCGTCCAATGAGCCAGCTTTCCACTTTTCCAGGGACTTTGGCAATTTGGGGTGCAGTTCCACAAAAAAATCGAAATGGTCAGGGACTCAGACGGGGCTGAAATCCCAGCTTTCCATGGTAATCAATATCATATATTGGGAATAATCATCCCATAAATAAAGGTTTGGACCTGGGAACATCAAGCATAGGTGATGATTGGTGGTATACCTACCCCTCTGAAAAATATGAGTTCGTCAGTTGGGATGATGAAATTCCCGATATATGGAAAAATAAAAATGGTCCAAAGCACCAACCAGATATACAATTAAGCCCATTACCCTCCGATAATGAAAGACATCAAAGATGGGAATGGAACATGCCACATTCAATCCATTTCATACATATTTCATACATATTTCATACATATTTCATACATATTTCATACATGGTCGTCCATTCAAATGCCCATTCCTTCGGGGATTTCGCAGCCTTCCCATTGCCATGAACCCGCCGGCCGGGCGCATCCTGACGACCGTCTTCGCCTGAAGGCTGTCTCAAGGAGAATGGTGGTTTCGTCAAAATGGACGTGGAAGCAACAAGAATAGTGGAAACATGTGGAAACCCCAGCAAGAATCAGGGTCTACACAGCAGAGCTTTTGTAGCAACAAGAATCATGTTGATAAAAACAGACCATATCTTTGGCCAAATGATTTCCGATGGATGGTTCAGGTTTTTTTGAACCCTGAAGCAAAGTCAGTGGCACATTCTCCGAACACACGAAAGATGCACACGAATTCTGGAATGACCCATGGATCGATCTGGGTCAACTGGGGCTGGAATTGAAGTCGATTTGTTTTTCCGGAAAACGTCTGAGTTACTACTGAGTTTGGATGTGAAAAGAAGCCACAAAAGTCGCGATTCGTCGCGATGATTTCCGGTGACTCCCGATGACCGACGGACGTCGTCAAGTTGCATGCGCGCAAGACAATCTCAAAGGAGATCACCTAGGCAGTGCAGCCGTTAGAAAAACTTCAAAAAGGTGTACCCCAATGCATTGCTTTCCCCGAGATGACCAGAGGAGAAATTTAGGCGAAAAAAACATCTAATTACCCTCTAAACTAACTGTTCGATGTGGTGTTTACCTACCATTTCTAGATCATGATCATTTCCTGTTTCCCCATGGGTTTTCCACATCTGTCTGTACCCCATCCTTGAACCACGCCAGCTCAGTCACATCGGGACTCAGATCCGATTTTCGCAGCTCCTGTGAACAGGGCCGCTGGGGATGATGAAATGATAAACGAAAAATTGTGTCGAAGTTATAGTAATTCTTATAGAGTGGCTGTATATCAATATGACAAGAATACTAGCAAATACTAGCAATATTCATCAATGTTCGCAGTTCTGGTGCTTAAAAAACAGATTGTTGTTTCATGTTGTTTCAATTTCTGGTACTACCAAAGCTTTCCATACAGCCGGCGCATCAGTAGTAGCCAGCTGCTTGCAGCTTGAAACCATTTGAAACCGATGGATATTCTGGCAACTGTAGGATCTTGGAATATCCTGGAGGTATAACCTCTAAACCACCCAGCACTCCACCCAGCAGGCGCGTCGAAAAAACCGCGCCTGGAAGAGCTGTAGGGTCTGGAACCACTCGCCACAGGATTGACATGCACCCATCGCACCTTCATGGCGGCCCCTCATATGGAAAAGCAAAGGTGTGAAAAACCCTCAACATAGAAAAACCGGCTGAATGTTGACCCAAAGGTTCTTGAATTGGGGGCCATCGCCCAGTTTTTATGAGCAATTTTTTTCGTCGCACTGAAAAAAATATCCCAGTTCAGGAGTAGGCTGACCAACGAATCAACCTGGGTTTATCAAGTTGGCATTACGATTCTTGACATTCCTCGGCCGGAGATTTACGGTCCATCCTTGAGCTGAAAATTCAGGTTGTCCCACTGGCGCCAGTGACCACGGCTTTCAAACCTAAAATGATGGGTGCATACCAGATGAACATCAGGGTGACTACCCTCTGGTTATGTCAAAATAGCTATTGAAAATGGCCATTAATAGTGGATTTTCCCATTAATAGCATGGTGATTTTCCATAGCTATGTTAGTTTACCAGAGGGTACGTTGTACCTGGGGCACAAAAGGTCATCGTCCGGAAAACCCCCCACACCCCCGCGCCATTGTAGCTGATGAGATTTGGCTGCCCCAGCATGGTAAAGAGCTCTAGTGCAAGAGACCATTGTGATTCCTTGGAGAACTGTGACTCTTTCGGGGTGCATTTGGGGTGCAGTTGGGGTTCTTAGTGGGTCCATGATGATTTTCCCTCCATAAATTGGGAAACCATATACAAGCCACAATCCACAGGTGATAACAATGACGGGTGCCGTTGGTGTCTGATCTTTCTACATTCGTTCTACATTCCTCACATCTGTCCAGTGAAGTCCGGAGTTGCATGTTTTGAACGTTTCAAGTGATCAACTCTTGGGTTTTTGCCTCAACCTCTAGGCCCTGGCTTCAAATGGAACACATTTTGGGTAGGAAAGATTCCAAAGCCCCATTTTTTTCGCCGACCAATCCTCCCAGCTTTGTATTCAACCCATCTTGGGGCGCAGCCATCAGCCCAAGAATCGCAAGCAGCAATCAGAGAGTTGAAACAAATGCGATCCACCTTCCGTGCGGCACAGTTCAAATGGTTTCCCCCCACTAAACATGCACATGCACCGCAGTATACAAATATACAACATGTTCTATGAATACATGTATACTTGCATGTATATATATATATATAAGTATGTATGTATATATATATATAACCATCCTGAAGTAGATAGAATCTCTGGAATTTCAAAAAAAAAACGGTCCGAAAAAAACCTATAGATAGAATCCCAAAATGGCTCAAAAATCTGGGTCGATGATTGGTAAAAAAAAAGGTCCCTCTAAAATGATCACAAAAGCGGCCATTTAGCTTGTGATTTGGTTGTTTGGGCCTTTGGGATGACCACCAAAAGTTGTCATTATGCTGGTGTATTAGGTTCTTGCATGCGAATTTCAGCCCAAAATCTTCCAAAGAAATTGTCACTGTTGCTGGTGGTTCCCAGAAATACAGATCCTTTGGCAATGGTATTTAATAGTCAAACCCAATAAAGAAATGGGTGTGGGTCAAATTATCACCCACAAAAATTGAAACAAGGAAAACACGTCAAAACAGCCATGTGCAAGCCATTATACTTGAATAAGGCATACCAGTGCTAGGAAAATTGTGCAAAAGAAGGGATCCAAGTTCTTACCATTCAAAGTTCAGTCTTGCAGGTTTTTGAAAAGAAAGCTGTGAGAGGAAAAGTAGGAATCCAAGATCGACCATCCAAAGTTCATTTTTGCTAGTGCTGTGCTAGGACAGTTGGGCAAAACTATAGATAGAATATCCTCTAGAACAATGAAAAAATTGATTTTTTAAAGGATGCTTGGACTTGAGCACGTATTTGTGGTGCTCCCTGCCCCTTCCTCCACATCTACCCATCCAAAGTTCATTCTTGGAGCTGTTTGAAAGCAAACTTTAAAAGGATAATGGCATTTAAAAAGTAGGAATCCAAGATCTTACCATCCAAAGTTGAAATTGCAGGTTTTTGAAAAGAAGCAACGAAAGGAAAATGGGATGAGAAAAGAAGGAATCCACGATCTTACCATTCAAAGTTCAGTCTTGCAGGTTTTTGAATAGAAAGCCGTGAAAGGAAAAGGAGATGAGAAAAGTATAGAAAAGTAGGAATCCAAGATCGACCATCCAAAGTTCATTTTTGCTTGTGCTGTGCTAGGACAGTTGGGCAAAACTATAGATAGAATATCCTCTAGAACAATGAAAAAATTGAATTTTTAAAGGATGCTTGGAATTAAGCATGTATTTCTGGTGCTCCCTGCCCCTTCCTCCACATCTACCCTCCAAAGTTCATTCTTGGAGCTGTTTGAAAGCAAACTTTAAAAGGAAAATGGCATTAAAAAAGTAGGAACCCAAGATCTTACCATCCAAAGTTGAAATTGCAGGTTTTTGAAAAGAAGCTACAAAACGAAAATGGGATGAGAAAAGAAGGAATCCACGATCTTACCATTCAAAGTTCAGTCTTGCAGGTTTTTGAATAGAAAGCTGTGAAAGGAAAAGGAGATGAGAAAAGTATAGAAAAGTAGGAATCCAAGATCGACCATCCAAAGTTCATGTGTGCTAGTGCTGTGCTAGGACAGTTGGGCAAAACTATAGATAGAATATCCTCTAGAACCATGAAAAGACTGATTTTTTAAAGGATGCTTGGAATTAAGCATGTATTTCTGGTGCTCCCTGCCCCTTCCTCCACATCTACCCATCCAAAGTTCATTCTTGGAGCTGTTTGAAAGCAAACTTTAAAAGGATAATGGCATTAAAAAAGTAGGAATCCAAGATCTTACCATCAAAAGTTGAAAAATGCATAAAAATGCAGGTTTTTGAAAAGAAGCAACAAAAGGAAAATGGGATGAGAAAATAAGGAATCCACGATCTTACCATTCAAAATTCAGTCTTGCAGGTTTTTGAATAGGAAACCGTGAAAGGAAAAGGAGATGAGAAAAGTATAGAAAAGTAGGAATCCAAGATCGACCATCCAAAGTTCATGTGTGCTAGTGCTGTACTAGGACAGTTGGGCAAAACTATAGATAGAATATCCTCTAGAACCATGAAAAGACTGAATTTTTCAAGGATGCTTGGAATTAATCATGTATTTGTGGTGCTCCCTGCCCCTTCCTCCACATCTACCCATCCAAAGTTCATTCTTGGAGCTGTTTGAAAGCAAACTTTAAAAGGAAAATGGCATTAAAAAAGTAGGAATCCAAGATCTTACCATCCAAAGTTGAAATTGCAGGTTTTTGAAAAGAAGCAACAAAAGGAAAATGGGATGAGAAAAGAAGGAGTCCACGATCTTACCGTTTAAAGTTCAGTCTTGCAGGTTTTTGAATAGAAAGCCGTGAAAGGAAATGGAGATGAGAAAAGTATAGAAAAGTAGGAATCCAAGATCGACCATCCAAAGTTCATTTTTGCTTGTGCTGTGCTAGGACAGTTGGGCAAAACTATAGATAGAATATCCTCTAGAACCATGAAAAGACTGATTTTTTAAAGGATGCTTGGAATTAAGCATGTATTTGTGGTGCTCCCTGCCCCTTCCCCCACATCTACCCATCCAAAGTTCATTCTTGGAGCTGTTTGAAAGCACACTTTAAAAGGAAAATGGCATTTAAAAAATAGGAATCCAAGATCTTACCATCCAAAGTTGAAATTGCAGGTTTTTGAAAAGAAGCAACAAAACGAAAATGGGATGAGAAAAGAGGGAACCCACGATCTTACCATTCAAAGTTCAGTCTTGCAGGTTTTTGAAAAGAAAGCTGTGAAAAGAAAAGGAGATGAGAAAAGTATAGAAAAGTAGGAACCCAAGATCGACCATCCAAAGTTCATTTGTGCTAGTGCTGTGCTAGGACAGTTGGGCAAAACTATAGATAGAATATCCTCTAGAACCATGAAAAGATTGAATTTTTAAAGGATGCTTGGAATTAAGCATGTATTTCTGGTGTTCCCTGCCCCTTCCTCCACATCTACCCATCCAAAGTTCATTCTTGGAGCTGTTTGAAAGCAAACTTTAAAAGGAAAATGGCATTTAAAAAATAGGAATCCAAGATCTTACCATCCAAAGTTGAAATTGCAGGTTTTTGAAAAGAAGCAACAAAAGGAAAATGGGATGAGAAAAGAAGGAATCCACGATCTTACCATTTAAAGTTCAGTCTTGCAGGTTTTTGAATAGAAACCGTGAAAGGAAAAGGAGATGAGAAAAGTATAGAAAAGTAGGAATCCAAGATCGACCATCCAAAGTTCATTTGTGCTAGTGCTGTGCTAGGACAGTTGGGCAAAACTATAGATAGAATATCCTCTAGAACCATGAAAAGATTGAATTTTTAAAGGATGCTTGGAATTGAGCATGTATTTCTGGTGCTCCCTGCCCCTTCCTCCACATCTACCCATCCAAAGTTCATTCTTGGAGCTGTTTGAAAGCAAACTTTAAAAGGAAAATGGCATTAAAAAGTAGGAATCCAAGATCTTACCATCCAAAGTTGAAATTGCAGGTTTTTGAAAAGAAGAAACAAAAGGAAAATGGGATGAGAAAAGAAGGAATCCACGATCTTACCATTTAAAGTTCAGTCTTGCAGGTTTTTGAATAGAAAGCTGTGAAAGGAAAAGGAGATGAGAAAAGTATAGAAAAGTAGGAATCCAAGATCGACCATCCAAAGTTCATTTGTGCTAGTGCTGTGCTAGGACAGTTGGGCAAAACTATAGATAGAATATCCTCTAGAACCATGAAAAGACTGAATTTTTTCAAGGATGCTTGGAGTTGAGCATGTATTTGTGGTGTTCCCTGCCCCTTCCTCCACATCTACCCATCCAAAGTTCATTCTTGGAGCTGTTTGAAAGCACACTTTAAAAGGAAAATGGCATTTAAAAAGTAGGAATCCAGGATCTTACCATCCAAAGTTGAAATTGCAGGTTTTTGAAAAGAAGCAACGAAAGGAAAATGGGATGAGAAAAGAAGGAATCCACGATCTTACCATTCAAAGTTCAGTCTTGTAGGTTTTTCAAAAGAACGCTGTGAAAGGAAAAGGCGATGAGAAAAATATAGAAAAGTAGGAATCCAAGATCGACCATCCAAAGTTCATTTTTGCTAGTGCGGTGCTAGGACAGTTGGGCAAAACTATAGATAGAATATCCTCTAGAACCATGAAAAGACTGATTTTTTTAAGGATGTTTGGGATTAAGCATGTATTTGTGGTGCTCCCTGCCCCTTCCTCCACATCTACCCATCCAAAGTTCATTCTTGCAGCTGTTTGAAAGCACACTTTAAAAGGAAAATGGCATTTAAAAAGTAGGAATCCAAGATCTTACCATCCAAAGTTGAAATTGCAGGTTTTTGAAAAGAAACCACAAAAGGAAAATGGGATGAGAAAAGAAATAATCCACGATCTTTCCATTCAAAGTTCAGTCTTGCAGGTTTTTGAAAAGAAAGCTGCGAAAGGAAAAGGAGATGAGAAAAGTATAGAAAAGTAGGAATCCAAGATCGACCATCCAAAGTTCATTTGTGCTAGTGCTGTACTAGGACAGTTGGGCAAAACTATAGATAGAATATCCTCTAGAACCATGAAAAGACTGATTTTTTAAAGGATGCTTGGAATGAAGCATGTAGTGGTGCTCCCTGCCCCTTCCTCCACATCTACCCATCCAAAGTTCATTCTTGGAGCTGTTTGAAAGCAAACTTTAAAAGGAAAATGGCATTAAAAAAGTAGGAACCCAAGATCTTACCACCCAAAGTTGAAATTGCAGGTTTTTGAAAGAAGCAACAAAAGGAAAATGGGATGATAAAAGAAGGAATCCACGATCTTACCATTTAAAGTTCAGTCTTGCAGGTTTTTGAAAAGAAAGCCGGGAAAGGAAATGGAGATGAGAAAAGTATAGAAAAGTAGGAATCCAAGATCGACCATCCAAAGTTCATTTGTGCTTGTGCTGTGCTAGGACTGTTGGGCAAAACTATAGATAGAATATCCTCTAGAACCATGAAAAGACTGAATTTTTAAAGGATGCTTGGAATTAAGCATGTATTTGTGGTGCTCCCTGCCCCTTCCTCCACATCTACCCATCCAAAGTTCATTCTTGGAGCTATTTGAAAGCACACTTTAAAAGGAAAATGGCATTAAAAAAGTAGGAATCCAGGATCTTACCATCCAAAGTTGAAATTGCAGGTTTTTGAAAAGAAACAACAAAAAGAAAATGGATTGAGAAAAGAAGGAATCCACGATCTTACCATCCGAAGTTCAGTCTTGTAGGTTTTTCAAAAGAAAACTGTGAAAGGAAAAGGAGATGAGAAAAGTATAGAAAAGTAGGAATCCAAGATCGAGCATCCAAAGTTCGGAAAACTGTGTTTGAAAGGAAGAGCGCATGAGAAAAGTAGGAATAGCTGATCTTACCATCCAAAGTTCATTCTCGCAGCTGTTTGAAATGGAAACTTGGAAAGGAAAATGGCAGGAAAAAAAATGTAATGCACGATGTTACCATCCAAAGTTCATAATTGAAGTTTTTTGAATGGAAAACTGTGACAGGAAAAGGACATGAGAAAAGCAGGAATCAAACTTTGAAAGGAACATGGCATGAGAAAAGCTGGAATCCACGATCTTACCATCCAAAGTTCACAATTTCAGATTTTTGAAGGGAAAAGTGTGAAAGGAAAAGGAAATGAGAAAAGTAGGAATCTACGTCTACGATCTTACCATCCAAAGTTCATTTTTTGGTATTTTTTGCAGCTGTTTGAAAAGGAAAATTTGAAAGGAAAAAATAAATTGGAAGGTTTTGAAAAGGAAAGGAAAAAAAACACATTTTGAGCATCCTGGAGTAGATTTTGGAATATTCTATCTAGGGGGTCCAAATATATAGTTTAGTATTGGGTCAAAAAGCCCTGGGTTTTTTCAAAAAAAATAACGCCCCCTACGAAACTGGATTCTATCTACTCCAGGATGATTATATATATGTGATTACATGTATGAATTATATATATATAGAGATTATCATGAATTCTCATGTACACATGAATGTCACTGTTGATGCTTGGTCGGACTCTTTTCGTCTGCGTGCCTCCAACTTTGCAGCAGACATGACGTGGAAGAGCTGTAGGGCCTGGTATGAAGGTTGTTGGTGCATCCCAGTTTTGTTGGTTTATAACCACATCTAACTATGGTTTCAATCACCAAAAACCAAAGTTAATCGAGTTATAAACCAACTTACCTGTGGGGAAAAACCGTGTATCAGTTGACCAATAATCACAATAATCTGTGTCATTCTTAGTATATTTACTCTCCAGCAAGCTAACAAAATGATCTGCAAAATCCATGGTTTCCCTGGGAAATTTGCTGGAGGGTAGGCATCCCATTCCTTTTCCGACATGCAAATGAGACGAAGATGGAATCTCTGCCCACTTATGATGGGAGGCGTTGATAACAAATTGTGGACTTCAATGGGCGTCCACCGTTGTTTTTTCATTTCTTCCAGATTTGAAAAGTTCATGCAGAATTTTAGCAAGAATAGCCCAGAAAACGTCTGTCCTGGGAGATGCTACATGCTTTGTGTGAGAAGTCAAGGTGCAAGTTCGCCCAGAAAACTCACCTTAAGTAGGGGGCCGGGGCTAACCACCGTTTCATCACCCTTTTAATTGATGGTTCCACCCCCCACCCCCCCCAAAAAAAGGAATGTATGTATATAACTAAATCTAACATGGGGTTCTGGACGATTCTAAAGCTGCCGAAAATGCTAAAAACAAAAAAAAAGTGCATAGCTTAGACCATGATGCTGCCTTGAAGATGACTATAAAAACTAGTGGATAAATTGCCACTGGTCTTCCATTGAGCCTGGAGCCATTGGCCACCCTTCTCACATGCACTGATGGCACTGCTATAGCTGATGACATTTGGTACCCTTCGCATTCGCTTCATCCTGGGCGATTCCCGTGGCCATGGCTTCCTCATCGTGAGATTTCGAAAGGGGGTTCGATTTGTCGCTGGCAAGAAATTTGCACATTTAAGTGACTTATTTGGATTAGTATTCTATAGATTTCTATAGTGGATTATTTGGATTATTTGGATTATTTGGATTATTGGATTTAGATGACCATTTGTCCTAACATGTCCTAGTATTCTATAGTGGATTGCTACCCGGCGAAAGAGAGCTCCAAATCAACGGCATATCCGTCGATCCTAATAGCTGCGAGTGTTCATGTCACCGGATGAAATCCCGGTTGAAATCCCCATGTGTTGTTGCTTCAAGGTCCATGTTTCCCCATGTGCTGTCGCGGGTCCTCACAAAGAATATAAAGAATGACGAACCGACTTCGGGTGATCCCCACTGTTCGAGGTTTTTTGGGATGTTCAAATCGATTTTGTGGGGGCGAAATCGTCCCACGACCGGAAGCACGACGATTTCGAGGCGTTCGCGGCCAGAACTCTGCTGTAGGATCTGCAAGGCCTGCTGCCACTGGCCATTCTTCTCACAGGCACTGATTGCACTGCTGTAACCTCCAGCACAGCGTGGGAAGTGAGGGTTTTTTTCCCCAATACGTCCCATGCAGTCTTTATAGGTAGGGGGTATAACTTAGAACCCACGTACTAACCACCTAGCCCTAGCCCAATTGATGGCAATTTTTACCGGGAAAACGATGATTAACCAATGGATAAAATGGGGTGTAGCCTATTTTCAGACACCAGCTGGAGGGAAGCAGCAAGTGATTAGGCTCAGGGCAGGGATTGCTTTTATATGGAGTGTCCATAAATGGGGGTACCCCAAAATGGATGGTTAATGAGGGAACATCCTATTAAAATGGATGATGTACGGGTACCCCCATGTATGGAAACCCTCATATAGATTCATGTTGTTTTTGAAACTTTCGAAAGAAATGCCAGATTTATGGTTGAATTGAATGGTTGAAAATCAAAACGATAACATACAATGAAGTGCTACCTTCATTTCTGCTACATTGGGGATGGTCCTCCAACTATACTTTCTTGGGGATTCCAAACATGCGGCGATCTGGAATAGATAACATTGAACCCTTGAGGAGTGGCTCTTAAGGTACTCTTTTTGTTCTGGCCATCCCCACAAAAACCAACAATGTCCAACCACAAAGGTGGAGTTATGAATTGACTCTTACAGCTTTCCAACACACGTGAAAATCGCGCACTGTACTCAAACATATCCTGTAGTTAGTCATGTATTGTATCTATGTACATTTATGCATGCATATACAGCACAGTATATGATTAAATGATTATATATATATATACACATGATATGTTCGTTTGTCCCTCTTCAAATGGGCCACAACTCATTCAGAGGAGCAGATCACATCAGGCTCGCAATGCGCACTGCGCAGCAAGACGAGAGCCATTTCCCACTGCCTGCCCCGCTCCTGGCTTCGTGACATTGCGGGACCGATTTTTTCATCAGCAGTATGACTGTCTATGGGTCAATGATCCATCCCCTAAACCCAAGCAACACACATTTAACCTGGGCGTTCCAATTCTATAGGGGAAATTTTCGCTAGGGGATTCAATCAATTCAATCCCCACAAATGGAGAGTTGATCCAAAAATCTTGCGAGACGCTGTGCCGGAGCTCCAACGACTCCCGACTAGACCCACAGCTGGTCGCAGTGGAATCGTTGGGTCGTGTGATCCAGGGAGTTTTTGAAACCACAAAAAACAGCCAGTGACCGGTTGTTTTTGCAACATTTTGGTGAAAAAAGAAGAAAAACACAGAAAAACAGTGTTGCTTGGTAGAATTCTAATATGGATGTGACTGAAAATCACCAATTCGAATGGAAAAAACAGCAGGATCACCGTCATCAAAACGCCCAGTTAGATCCCAGTTGGGGGTCCCAATTTTCAGACAAAACCATATATATATATATCATGCTGTTGCTTACGTATCTAATTATATCCCCGTTACGTCCCATGATCTCTTCATTGGAAATTTCTAGGTTTCCCATGTTTTCATAGGCACATCCCCATTGCTGGCTGATCAAATCCCATCTCCAGGCTAAGCTGAGCGTCACAAGCGCTGATGCTTCCACTGTAGCTGATGACATCTGTGAATTCCATGCGCTTTAGCAACTCCAGAGCCTGAAACATGTCGTGCCACAGAAAAAGAAGGCGATGGAACAAGAACTTGTCAAGACTGGTACCTCTTCTTTTGCCATGGTCAGTAGCTATGGCATGTTTTTTGTGTATGTATGTATATATATATATATATGTAGGTAGATATGCCCACAGAGTCCTCGGGAAAAATGGGGTTGGTTTGATGCGCATATGTATATAATGTACGTATATTTCTACATACATCTCTTTGCGTAGGCATACATATAACTTGTACAGCGTACAACCTGTATGAGATGTACAGTATAACATGTATCACATATATGACACATGTACAACATAGTGCATCTACATAATATGGAACATAATGTGTATATATATATATACATATAGGCAACTAGTATAAGATACATGTATGTGGGTAAATCACAATAGATCACTAACATATCAATTATCTATCTACAACCAAAAATCCTATATCAATCATATACTATAACCAATTATCAATGGATGTAAAAATCTCATGACTTACCCAATCCTCTTGCGACATTCTCCCGTGCCTGAAGCCATTGACCCACTTTGGCACAAGCACTGATGGCCTTAGCGGCAACGGCAGCGGTGCACAAGGTGATCTGGCAATTCAGAAGCCAAAAAAAGATGTTCTTTAACGGGATACATTCAGATAAGAATGGGGTATATGAATGATCTATGTATATATATACATATATATATATATAACATGTATATATATAACATATATATAACATATATATATATATAACATATGTATATATATATAACATATATATATATAACATATATATATATATAACATATATATATAACATATATATATATAACATATATATATAACATATATATATACGTATATACAATGGGTATATAATACATTGAGTGAATTGGCGACAATCATGGGAATAATGGGAGAAAGTGATGTATGTTATACATATATAACATTATATAACCAACTTCAATTCACCAACAGAACATGGATTTCATCGTGATTTAATGGTCATTCTAATGACCATTATAATTGTGATGGTGATATTTATGGGGAAATCCTGGAAATCCAACTTGATCATGGTGGGATATGGTGATTTGTCATGGAACGGACGGGGGATTTAACCAAGTAACCAACTTGATATGTGCCATGGTCAAGTTACAGGGATGCACGGGGGATTGAACCAACTATGAGTCGATGTATAATATATATATACATATATATATATATATAACACGTCACAAAATGGGAATCCTATGAAAACAGCTTTCAACGAAGCCCTATGAAAATGGTGCTATGACCATCCCCCAGTATGGCTATGAATCTATATATATATACATATTATCATATATGATCCTACTTTTGACCATGACACAGACTGTGGGTTTCCCCAGAGGATGGAACTCATCAGGAGCACAACTCAGAGGATGGAGATCAGCAATTTTCATAACCCACCAGGAGCGCAATACAAATATTTACCATATGGTGTCTGAAAATAGTGCATAGCCCCAAAATGCTAGGGGTATCTTTAACGGGAAATGATTCGATGGACCAGTGAAGCGCTTTTGGCCTAGTTTGAGACACAGCCATATTGATGACATATTGATGACATATTGATGACATATTGATGACATATTGATGATAGATGCCTGATATATGCCTCATATTAACCATAGCATCTGGTTCTCTTCCGAGAGCTTTCTGCATCTGCGTCACGCTGTTGAAACTGATCGCATTGGGACGGACCGCGGCATCTTCCATGGAGCTCAAGACAGAAAGGGCCATCAGCCACTGCTCCTGGGTTGTTTGGAAGGCGAGCCGCATCTCTATTAGATGTATACAGTGTGTATTAATGTACATACAGAATGTATCATGTATCTTATATTTACATCTATATAAATATGTATATATATATATGTACACATATCTGGATAAGTAAGAAGGATTCACTGGTTTGGATTATATCAACAGTTTTTGTTTTTTTTGCCCCTAAGCCACAGTTCTCCAGAATTCTTGGGACCCCAGGTTTGCCAATGTTCGGGTGGATTCAACTCCTGGGAAGCTGCGCTGCAAAAAAAAGTGCCCTCCTGTTTTGGGAAAAAACTTGAGCAGCTGAAGCAGATATGAATCCGGATGAAATTCAAGGGAGGAATATCACTTGATTTCAGCGGATTTCTTGGGCTTCCAGTTATCTCAAAACAGTGAAACACCATCGGATACTGTTTGAAACACCATCTGCAAATTGAAGGAATCGGGACGCCATGGATACACCATCCATTTCTGGATCATCCAATCATGAACACCGAGGCTTAGATACCCTCCATGTTCTAACGGGCTATAGGTACTGTAGATTACCATAGCAGATTTTACCATTTCCGGGAAGAAAAACCGAAAAAAAAATAGAACATGCTAAAATACCCTATCAGTAAAATTTTACCATTACTATTTCAGAACTTCTGAATCAAACTCCCCTACGACCCATCCAGTGAGTTTCGTTCGTCTGATTGCATCCATGCCTCTCCCTTGTCACAGGCGCTGATGACACTGCTGTAGCTGATCACATCCTGAAGGGTTTTGCAGATCAGGGAATCGGATGTGGGTGTACCCGATAATCCGATGGTTTCCAAAATCATCATCCCGTATGGAGGTTTCCTGAAATGGTGGTATAAATCATCCGTTTTGATAGAATTGTCCATTATAAACCAACCAGCTACTGGGGATCCCCCATTTATGGAAACCCCTTTTTTTGGTTCCCCATGTACTACTGCCTATAAAATTGGGCGTCCCCCATTTTCAGACAAACACATGTGCCCGCTACAGTTGCCAAGTCCACACCCAGCACCTTGACCATACCAGGCCCCGTCTGAAAAAGGGAAATCTATAGCTCCAATTCGCTTCCTCGCCACTTCAAAATATGAAGCATTCGAAATGGAACATCTATGGTAATCTATGGGAAATTGATGGGAAATTGCCAGCATTTCATGCATCATTCGAATGGGAAAATGATGACAAGCTGAAAGCAAGAGCCAAGCATCTGGCACCAACTCCCGATCCTCAGATCGGCCATGGATCCCTCATAAAAAACCGATGTGACTGGATGGTTGATGAAACCATGGCTAAGCCTCTGGTCAACTAATAAACTAACAAAAAAATGGAGAAACAATATTTTAAAGTCTATCATAGGACTAAATGGGTCTACTGTAAATGGTCCGTTTTCCATAGCTATGTTAGTTTACTGGAGGCCAAACCTCCCCAAATATTGGGATACTTTGCTAGTAACAACTGACCCTTAAAGTGGCGGGACTGGTGCTGCAAAACTGTGACCTCAGGATTCATTGACACCTGGTGTTGCCTGGAACACCCTAGAGGAACGTCTGACCATGTTACCCTCAAAAGCAGCGGCCAGGTCAAAGATGTGGCACCTTTTCCACCATCCTCGGCCTAAAGGGTTGGGTCATACTGAACACCTCCTTCACTTGGTTTTGTCCAAACATGGGGTACCTGTAGCATACACAAAATGACCATTCGAATTCATTGCTTAATCAAAATGACCATTCTGGGGCATTCGCTATTTTTAGAGATACACAATAATTATCATACCGTTAAGTGACTTATATCTCCCATTTCCCCATGGTCAACCAATAATTAACCCAAGTATCCCCATCATTATTCCATTATGACTAGTTACACACCCATTGTTTTGTAGGAGTAGTGACCCAATATCATATCAAGCTGACTTTAAATCCCATTGAACCCATCGTATCCCATTATATCCCCTGGTTACAGTATCAATCACCAATTCTGCATTAGAATTGAGCATTCAATAGTCCCATGTTGGAACAATAGCACCATGAACAATCCATGAACTCCCATTATATTCCCACTCTATTCCCACTATAATCCCATCAAATCCCATACAGGGATCGTCTGCTATGCGTTTCAGAAGCTCCAGCGCTTCTGACCAAAGTCCGCTTCTCTCGCAGGCACTAATGGCAGTGTTGAAACTGATCCTAGCTGAAGATCATTTGGGGACGGATATGTGGGGCATATGTTAGGGATACCATCTGGTTATGACATTCACAGTTTGCCACGGAAAGATCCAACCATGTTTAAGAACGGTAAACCATCTATAAATGGGCCATCTATACCATGGCTATGTTAGTCATAACCAGAGTGTAATTGGAGAATTGATGATAATTCTGGATCTTTGGGGATGATCTGAAAAAACCCTCTGGTTATTTATGACTAACATAGCCATGGTTATTACGATGGCCCATAGAAATAGATGGTTTACCGTTCTTAAAAATGGGTGGATTTTCCATGGCAAACTGTTAGTCATAAACCCTGAGGTTGCCTGAGGTTGCCTGGAAATTGCCCAGAAGTCAGTCGTGACGAAAGCTACGGAACGTCCTTTCGTCAGGGCATATCATATGAGAATGGATGATTACTGGTGATAATGGTGGTCTTTTGATGGGAATATCATGTGGGATCTTTGTACTGAAAATGGGGGTCTCGTGGAGGAGTTTCTCATTGTCGTATCTACTGCTAAAAATCAATGTCTGATTAGACCTGCCTAATCCTGCGTATCCCAGCACCAAGAAATGGAGTCTTGTTCATTGCGCCAGCATCACCCCTTGTGCGATTCTCAGCAAAATCGATTCTATTGTCAAGCACTGGGGAGTACCCATCATGGCTTGAACAGCTGTCAATCATCCCAAACTGGGAGCCTGAGTCTAGTATCTTACTGCCAAAAGTCCCAAAAGCTGTCGTTTTTTTCCGGTCAAACATCAGCATTGAATCATTCCATCCGGGGAAGTGAACAGTCTGATTGGATACCCAGAAATCCATCATAGTCTATCAGTGGGTCCTTGAAACCAGGAAGCCCACAGGGACATGACCATCAAAATGTCATATTGTTGGTTTCTGACCATCGAAAATGTCTGGCTATACCAAACCTTTGGGATTTCAATCACCAAAATTTGAATGATAGCTGGATTTAGTCAACAAAATTCGGTACTCATAGAAAAATTGGATTGAATACATATATATATATGTATGCATTTACATATGTATGAACATATATATATATATATACATAATTACATACATATATATATGTATACATATGTATATATATATATGTGTAAATATATATATTATGTATATATATACATATGTATACATATATATATGTAAATACATATATATATATATACATATGTATATATGTAATTATGTATATATATATATATATACATGTATATATATATATATGTATATATATGTATATATGCATCTATATATATATATATATGTATATATGCATATATATATATATATGTATATATGCATATATATATATGTATATATGTATATATGTATATATGCATGTATATATATATATATGTATATAAGTATATATATATATGTATATATGTATATATGTATATATGTATATATGTATATATGTATATATGTATATATGTATATGTCAGATTGACACTGGTAGCTTGTTCACTTCCAATCCTAATCCCAGTTGGAACCCTGTCCAGCAATGCAAACTCCTGTTTTGCCCAATGCGAAGCCACGACCGGCAATCAGTCCAACGCACCCACAGCTGGCCACAGCTGTATCCGCTAAGCGTCACTGATAGCGCTATTGCTCAAGCTAATCCCTCCCTCCAGCCCAGAGGCTGCGGCAACAACTGGTTTCTGGAAGAACCCCCTGGTTCCATGAGGGAATGACCTCAAGCACATGTGAACTGGCCTGGCTTTCACATTCGTACTATCAAAATTTTGTTCATCATGTGCACATTCCAGATACGCTTCGGTGATCAGGATGGTGAAGACAATCACGGACATGATGTTGGAAAAATACCCAGTTGATTACGCATTGAAGACAATGTCAACCTCATCACTGGTAGTTGTCTCCTGTGAGGCAGAGACCATGCTTGCATCATCGAAAGATCTAATTGGATTTTCAGAACTTCAATCGGATAGCGCATGGACGGCTTGGCTTTTCCACAAACTACCGATGCTCTGAACTTTCGGGATTGAGAGCTTGAAGCCATTTGATTCTGGTTCTTGCATCTGATCTAGCCAAACCGCAAATCAGGAACTGGTATGGATTGTATTCGAAGGGCCACATTGGAATGTTGTTTTGCTTCATGGAGGGTTCGATTTGCTTCAACCAATGTGGACACTTTTGCTTTGTTGATTTGGCTTTGAAGCCAACCCAGTCGGCTGCATATGTCAGGTCTCGTGTTTACAGCTGCATACTGTAGGCTCCCTATCAGAGCTCGCAACGCTTGTCGTTCCTCTTCTGTGACGACACTGTCTGGTTGACACCTTCGATCATGAGAGATGGAAATTGCATGAATATCCCGAACATACTGTGACTGGTTCACTGTGATAGTGTAATCAGCTTCTTGCGTGACATGTAAACCAGTGAACACAAATTTGTGCATCTTACGGGATCCAAAAGGAAACTTGGCTTCCAGTTGTTTGAGCTTGTTCTGAAAAGTTTCATTCCCACAACACAACCCATCATCAACATGAACACCAATCAGACCTTGTGTCTCCTGGGTTTTGGGGTCACTCAGATGGAACAGGCACGGATCAAACGGTGATGCTTGGAATCCCAGCTCCTCTAGGGTCTTCTTCAGTTCAACAAACCAGAGATATGGTGCGTCAACACGCCCATAGGCACCTTTGAGAAGTTGCACCACTTCATCTTGACGGAGCTTGAGTTTCTGTCGCATCTCTTCTGGTGGTTCCATGCCTAAAACGCGATTGCTCTGCTCGCTGCCTCGTAAAAATGCAGTCTGTACATCGAAGCTTTGGATATCCCATTTTCGGCTGGCACAGTACTGAAGGAGAAGCATCCGGGTCAGTTTATTCATTGTCGGACTATCACGGGGAATTTCTGATACTTCAGGATCTTCAAAACCAAGCACAACTAGTCTAGCCTTCGGTTTCATTTTCTGGGATTGTTGGGGTTGATCAGCTGTGGGATCAACTTCTTTCCAAGTTAAAATCCATCGGCTTCGGAGAATGTTGGCTTTTGGGATCTGATTACGCATGATTTTTGTGATAGTCTCGGTACTGATCCAGCTTTCCACTTCTTTCATCTTGGCCTGCCGGAAACGCTCGCGATCTTCAGCTGTGAGATCTGACAATTTCACCTCACTGCGCTGTCGTTTTGCTGCTGAAACAAGGAAAGCCATTTCCTGTGGTTTTGTTTCCTCACGCCAGCGGGTGATGTCTTGAGCACAGATGGGAATCTCTAATTTCCAGCATTGATCATTATCAACTTGGAAAACATGATCGGCTTCCACAAAGAGTTCATCATCCGTATCTGGAATTGGCACTTCCACTGGATTGGGTGGCTGTTCAACATTTTCGGAGGGATCCTGGTTGTTGGGAACTGGTTCACCATCAGGTTGTTCAGAGTTACTGTCACTTATTGGGATTACTGAAACGTTAGGGTTATCTTCATTGGGGATTATTGGAATCTGATTCACATCTTGATTATTGGCAGTGTTAGTTGAACTTGGTGCTTCAGTGGGAATTAAATTGTGATATTGTACTCCGCCATGTGGTGGGATAATGCTTTGATTTGGTGACGTGGAACGTGGAGAATCACCTGATTGATTTTCATTGATTGTGGATCGGTGTTGCCACTCCTCAACTGCTGACAGCGGTCGGAGGTGTTCCGGAGCTACGCGATACAGCTTGCTGCCCATGGTGATCCACACAACATGTGAACTTTCTTGCAACACAACTCGAAGGGGACCTATCCAAGAGCCATCAGCTTCACCACGTTTTCGCCACATCATGACATGATCTCCCTGGACATACTTGCCCCGATTGGGTCTACTCCTTTGGACCAGGGCTCTTCTTAGGACCTGACAATTGTCAGTGGCAGTGAAGGCGCGACGCGCGCGTTCTCGCAGGGCCAGTTCCTCTCTGAATCGGAGACCTTCAGGACGATCATCAATGGCTAAACTGTGGGAAGGCAACTGCATATCTGAAACTACTGAACCGGCTACCCTACTTGACTTTCCAAACACAAGGACTTCTGGTGGATAACCCCTGTGACGGCTCCATTGATTTTTGGTTGCAGTGGCCAAAGCGGTTGCTTGGCTTACTTTTTCAAAGGAATCAAGTGGTTCTTCGGTGTCCATTTTGTTCAAAATGCTTTGCAGTACAGCTCCATGTCTCTCAATCCTGGAATTTTGCCAGTGTGCTTCTGTGGCAATGGTTCGATGTTTGATTGAGTACCGTTGCAAAAATGTCATGAAGTCATTGGAGTTCAGTTCTGTCCCTGCATCCATGCATAGTAGACCTGGAGGTCCGGCCCATTGAATCCACCCCTGGTGAAGCGCATGTATGGCCTGTTCAGCATCATGTGCACGAGTAACGACGGCAGTGTGATACAAGGTACTTTGATCCAACATGTGATAGATGTTATACTGTTGCCCCATCTTATTAGTCCATGTGATACCATCAATTGCAACAACATCTCCAAAATCCCCATGGTCATGTATGGAACTTGGACGAGCTATCTTGGGATCTTGATTCTCAGCACATGTTGAACATTTCAGGTCTCCGATGGCTTGGAGAATTTCACTGGGGCATCCCAGTTGTCGACAGAACTCTGTCAATTTCATAGCTCCCGGATGGCCCAGGTTTCGGTGAACTTTGAGAAGCCATGCCTGAGTTTCTGGCTTCAACATCATGAAACGTGGTCCATGTTTCTGAGAGGCTAGGTCAATGACATGACGATCTATTGATTCGGTCTTTTCTGGTTCGGAAACTCTTTGGGCCACATCCATTGGCTCATGAGTGCGCGGTCGCTTTGGTTCTGGTTCTGATCCTTCGAACTCAGCAGAGCGAACAGCACGGACGTCGGCAGAAGATTGAGACTGCACTGGAACATGTTCGGAAACAGGTATCTCTTGGCCTACAACTGTCTTGGCTTTGGCAAATATGGTCAGACTGACTCTGGCTGGCGTTCCCTTTCGACGCAAGCCTTTAAATGTCAGTTTCTCCCAGGGCTCCCATTCATCATCAACAACCACATCTTCATGCTTGCGACGGATGCAGATGCGTTTTCTTAGAGGAGCACTACCTGGTGGAACATTTCTGGTAGGGCCAGGATATCGGTCTGTGCCACGACAAAGGACCACATGTTTAATCTCATGTTCAGGACATAAAATGGAAATCTCATGAATGATTTCTCCAGTGTCAATCACCAGTGGTCCAACACGTGGGGCCATTACATTGGCACGTCTCATCACTGTCTGCCAGCTGGCGTCAGCAAATCGCTGTGCAATGGCTTGTGGACTCAATTTTGACATGAGGCGTCTCTTCTTGGTTGGGTGTTCATTGTTATTTTCCTGAGAAGGTGGGTCATCCATTGCAAACACAGGCTTTTCCTTTGGAACTTCATAAAGCAAGATCTTGACTACCTGTCGAGCAAATTTGGCTGGATACTTCTCAGTAAAAGTGGACAATGACATACGCTTTCCCTCATGTTTAATGCTTCCTGCAATTTGTCGATTTTCGTGATCGGGATTGCACAGCTTTCCATGGATGGCTCGGGCCAACGGATCTGACGTTGTTGCTACGTTCAAACGCTTTCGGATGGGCATGGCTGATTCTGGATCGGTCAAGTTGCCCATGCGGCAGAGGTCAAAGCGGCAAAGCCTTGTGTGTTCACCAATTTCACTTAGTGGTTGGAGCTGCAACATCTTGGAACCATCCGGCTGTTCTAAGTGAAAATGCAGTGATCTCTGCACCTGAAATCGATACAGAACAATGGCTAAGCTGATCTGCCAAAGGCTTGCAAGACGTTTCTGAAGAATGTCATGCAACCCATGGAGTGATTCATTCCGCCACATAAGACCTATAGGCGGTTTCCACACAGAACCGTGTCCACGCACCCAGGGTCCACATTCAGGGCTGTACCACAGATTCTTGGGATTCTGGGTGGTCAACACTTGAAACATTCTTCGGCGTCCTGCAGCTGTTTGGAGGTCACCTTCTGCCAATCCGAATCTTTTGGAGCGACCACCAATGGACGACATTTGCTTTGTGAGTTCACTGTCACTGGAACACATGACTTCAAACAAATCAAGTTGAGGAAGTCGAAACTTGTTCTTCTGATTTTGTTGAATCACTTGGTCAAGTTCAGATTGAAATTGTTTTACCATACGTTGGATTCGTCGGTGATAACTGTTGTTGGAAACATCATGTGTGAAGTCAAAGTCTGTGTCCAGGGTCATGTTCAAATGCACCTCTTCTGCAAACATACCATGCCGGATCAGATCAGCCTCAGTTGCACTCAGAACTCTCAGTTCTCGGATTTCACCTGCATCTTCTTCATGTGCTCCAGCATCTCGTGCATCATCATCTCGACTTGTCCCATTCGATTGGACAGATGCTGGTTGCTCTGTCGTAGATCTTGCATCTCCTCCTGAATGAAGGGCAGGTGCATCAGGTCGGCTGGATCTGAGCCGTCCGTGGGCATGACATCTTCCCAAACCTCCTGTGGAACGGGAGGCATGCTCTTGTTCTCTTTCGGCTTGGGGCTCTGGTTGCTGGTTTTGGTCTTCACCTGGACATCCTTCAGGCGCAGACGGACATACTGCACAAACATCATGTGCTCTGGTTTGTCGCTCATCTCGAACCTGTTCAAAATGAACTCGGTCCATTGTGCGTCCTCGAACGCCTGAGCATAGGTCATACCCTTCTTTGACTCTCCGAAGGTGATCTTCTCGCTGGCTAACTCTTCCAGAGTCATGGCACTCACGACCTCTCGAGAGATCTGCTTCTTCTGCGACTTGTTGTACTCCTTGAGCTGCAAAGCCAGGGACGTCATGTTCCCCCGGTGTTGAGTCACGTTCTGCGTTGATCTTTGGACCACACACTGCTGAGTCAGTCGGACATGATGGTGACGGGCTCACCGGCAAGTGGGTTCTCAAAACTGTTTCATGGCAACTGACTGAACTTTCAAGCGGAGATGATTGGTCTGTCAAGTTGAGCTCACTACCCCTAAGGCTTCCCTGCGGCTGTTTGACTGTCATTTTGGCACCACGGTCAATTTCAGTCTGAGCCATGCAAGAGGCCTCACCTGATTCACCAGAAAAACTATCATCCCAAAGTTGATTCAAATTCATTAAGAACAGATTCTTTGGAGATCTTTCAAGAGTGAGAAACTTTCGTAAGGCCTTACTCCACATGGTTCCCTCTTCAGTGTCAATCACAGCTTGAATCTGTTTCAAAAACGCACTTGACCGTAAAAAGGGTGTTGGACCTGGAACAACTGCAATTCGGAACCATCCCTTTTGGATCGGGAGCACAAGTGCATGTTGGCTCGTCAGCGTCTGATGATTACCAAATCGAAACACTAAGTGGCATGGTGCACGGTGTGCTTGCTTTCGGATCTGTTCGGGAAGACCCTGCAAAAGTTCTGTCACCTGATGGCTTCCAATCACTGTCTGTGAAGCACCTAAATCAACAATGCCATGGGTACCTGATGACGCAAAGTGTATGTCATGTGAAATCACACTGGATGCCGGGTGATCTTTCGGATCATGCATGTGAGACGTCGAGGGACACTTTCCATCATGGGACTTTGGCTGCGCAGCATCACGGTGGTTGGCACGAATGCTCAGTTCATTCCTGAGGGCCATTCGGATGCGTGACATAACATGTGATTTAAATCCCCATTTCTTACCCTTATCATTATTCCAATTATTCCCAAGTTTATTTCCCGTGATTACCCCAAAACATGCGGCTGCACAATCTGGCAAAGGCTCGGGAAATCTCATCTCAGGCAAATGGGAGATCTCGGGCGGGATCTCTGTTGGCACATCGTCGACGACCGCCATGGAAATCGGAACTGTTGATCCATCACTTGGAGGGCCAGTGGACGAGGCTGATTGACGAAGGCTACATTCGGCCTTCCAATGACCCTTTTTCCCGCACAGTCTGCACGTAGAATTAGCTATCCTCTGTGCTAGTGACTTTCCTTTTCCGCCTCCTTTTCCAAAACCTTTCTTGCCCCCACTTTTCCCTCCTTTTCTCACGGGCCAAAATCCTCTGAATTTGGCACGTTCTGTCAGGCGGCGACGTGCCTCCTGATATGAGGAAAAATAGGCAGCTAGGTCTGCATCACTCTGCACTGCTTCTGTCACTGCGTCCTCAAACTGTACCACCATAGCAGCATCTTCATCATTGTCATCGGCTAACTGTGCTAAGGTTTCATCATCCAGTGGATCATCAACAGTCCAATACGTGTCATGTTCTTCATCCTCTTCTACTTCATCAACATTGAAGGCCAAATGGTCATAGGTTTTCATGTTCTTTTCTCGTTTGGCACCCGTGTAGTCTTGAAAGAAAGATGAACCTAACATGCGTATGGCTGCTACGACCTTCTTCCATTCCAGTTTCTGTCCAATTTGTTCAGCTCCGGACTCCACCAACACGCGCTTTTTGTCTTCAGCTGAAAGGCGGCTGCCACGAAGCAAAACATACGATCGAATCTGATCCATGTCAACGTCCTTGGTCAAAAGCTCAGTCCAAACCACATCAACACGGGCGATGAAACTGTCACCTGTCTCGTCAGGCTTCTGCTGACATCGATACAAGGCCTTTTCCACCAACTCAAAACGATGCTCAAGGGGAATCTGTCCCCAGGTGCCCCCAACCAATTCCACCAGTTTCTGAACCCCTTTACGGTCATTCACCAAGAGGTCCTTTTGATGCAAATGAAGCTTCTGGTAGGCTGATCCCTTTGTGTTGAGGATCAGTCGGGTGATGAGCTCCAGGATTTTGGTCTGGGGCCATGCTTCAAGCAGTAGGTGAACCTTGCTGGACCAAATGTCCACATTGTCACTTGCAGGATCAAACGAAGGCACTAACAGCGCAAGCTGATTCGAGATGGTTCCACCCCCATCAGTTCCAGCCTGTCCTCCAGATGATTCAGTCATGAATTCTGTGGCGCCTGATCGCCAGGTAGCTCCGCTACCAATGTCAGATTGACACTGGTAGCTTGTTCACTTCCAATCCTAATCCCAGTTGGAACCCTGTCCAGCAATGCAAAACTCCTGTTTTGCCCAATGCGAAGCCACGACCTGCAATCAGTCCAACGCACCCACAGCTGGCCACAGCTGTATCCGCTAAGCGTCACTGATAGCGCTATTGCTCAAGCTAATCCCTCCCTCCAGCCCAGAGGCTGCGGCAACAACTGGTTTCTGGAAGAACCCCCTGGTTCCATGAGGGAATGACCTCAAGCACATGTGAACTGGCCTGGCTTTCACAGTATATATGTATATATGTATATATGCATGTATATATATATATATATGTATATATGTCTATATATATATATATATATATGTGTGTCTATATATATATATGTCTATATATATATGTCTACATATGTATATACATATGTCTACATATATATATATATATGCATATGTGTGTATATGTATATATATATATGTATATATATATATATTGAAGAATCATAATCGCGTGAGATGAAACGAAAGTTTTCTCCGGTGGAATTTTCTTCAATCGGAAGCTTTCTCTGTCTGCCTTCGAGCCTCACATCCGCTTCCAACTGCTTCTCCTCGAGGAAAAGCGGAAAGTTCGAGGCACGAAGCCGATGGAAGAAACCACTGGAAGAAAGTTCGAATGAAGATTATGATAGTGGAATTATTATCGTGGACAAGTGAAATTCCATTATTGTAGCCATGATTGGTTCTAGTGGAATTTACCGGAAATTGCAAAAATCGACTCAGTTCCATGGCACCCCAGGGTATAAAAGGACCTATTTAACCACTCCTTCTGGCCATGTTCCATTGGTTGGAGCAACTCTGACAGTGATCATCCCCAAATGAAAGGAACAAAGCAGATCCGTAATTTTGGCCGTTTGGTCAGTTATCGCCGGCTACACAACCCACCTCCTGACCATTGTGGTTGCATCATCTACTATGTAATATACAACACATTTGTGCATATATATATATACACATATACATAGAAAGAGAGAGAGAGAGAGAGAAATACAGCCACAATGTATGTATGTAGGTATGTATGTATGTATGTATGTATGTATGTATGTATGTATGTAGTAATGCATGCATGCATGCATGCATGTATGTATGTATGTATGTGTCTGTATGCATGTATGTATCTATCTATCTATGATCTATCTATCTATGTATGTATGTATGTATGTATGTGTATGTGTATGTGTATGCATGTATGTATATGTATTTATGTATGTATATGTATGTATATGTATGTATATGTATGTATATGTATGCATATGTATGTATATGTATGTATATGCATGTATATGTATGTATATGTATGTATATGTATGTGTCTGTATGTATGTATGTATGTATCTATCTATCTATCGATCTATCTATCTATGTATGTATGTGTATGTGTATGTGTATGTGTATGCATGTATGTATATGTATGTATATGTATGTATATGTATGTATATGTATGTGTATGTATATGTATGTATATGTATGCATATGTATATGTATGCATATGTATGTATATGTATGTATATGTATGTATATGTATGTATATATACGTATATGTATGTATATGTATGTATATGTATGTATATGTATGTATATGTATGTATATGTATGTATATGTATGTATATGTATGTATATGTATGTGTATGTATGTGTATGTTTATGTATGTATGTGTATGTATGTGTATGTATGTGTATGTATGTGTATGTATGTGTATGTATGTGTATGTATGTGTATGTATGTGTATGTATGTGTATGTATGTGTATGTATGTGTATGTATGTGTGTGTATGTGTATGTATGTCTGTGTATGTGTGTGTATGTATGTGTATGTATGTATCTGTATGTCTGTCTGTATGTATGTATGTATGTATGTATGTATGTATGTGTATGTATATGTATGTATCGTGTATGTATCTCTGTATGTATGTGTATGTATGTGTTGTATGTATGTATGTGTATGTATGTGTATATGTGTATGTATATGGTGTGTATGTATATGCGTATGTATGTGTGTGTATGTGTATGTATGTGTATGTATGTATGTGTATGTGTATGTATGTATGTATATGTATGTATATGTATGTATGTGTATGTATCTGTTGTATGTATGTATGGTATGTATGTATGGTATGTATGTATGGTATATGTATGTATATGTAGGTATGTATGTATATGTATGTATGTATATGTTTGGTGCTGTATGTATGTATATGTATGTATTTGTATGTAGGTCTTTGTATGTGTATATGTGTATGTAGGTATGTATAGTAGGTATATGTATGTATGTATGTATTTGTATGTATTTGTATGTGTATGTATGAGTATGTATGTGTATGTATGTGTATGTATGTGTATGTATGTGTATGTATGTGTATGTATGTGTATGTATGTGTATGTATGTGTATGTATGTGTATGTATGCGTATGTATGTGTATGTATGTATGAATGAATGCATGAATGCATGAATGTATGAATGTATGAATGTATGAATGTATGTAATGTATGTAATGTATGTATGGTATGGTATTCTGGTATGGTATGGTATTATGGCATTATGGCATTATGGTATTATGGTATTATGATGTTATGGGATTATGGGATGGTGGTATTATGGTATGGTGGTATGGTGGTATGTAGGTACGTACGTACGTACCTATACATATATATATATATAATCGATATATAACATATGTGTAACACATATTTATATAAGCATATTATAAGCCAACTTTTCATGCCTTTCCCAAGATCTACGTCGCCAAGGCTCAAAGATTTGCTCCAAGAGCCTCACCGCTTCAAGGCCCTTTGCGGCCTTTCGACAGGCCGAGATGCAGCGGTTGTAGCTGATGACTTCGGGCACCAACTGCCAACAGCACCTCCCGTGGTGCGCGGTGCGCGGGGGCTGGGCTGTGTGTTTTGGGCTTGGTTAAAACATGGGCCTAATGTCAATGGATTGGTTTAAGGGAAAATCTTAACCGGAAACCCATGGGTTTTTACCATCAAATATAGGAGTTTACGGTTAAAATTTTCCCATCTTCCAATTCTATGATAATGACGGCCTCAGAAGTCATGGAGAGTCAGCCTAGATATGCACAGCACGGACTTCAATGAATTGGAGGAGAATTCTGAGATAATTCTCTGGTTGGTGGTTGACCTACCCCCTCTGAAAAATATGAGTTCGTCAGTTGGGAGGATGACATTCCCAATATTAATGGAAAAATAAAAAAAATGTTCCGAACCACCAACCAGATTAATTAAAACGGTGAACCAGGGAGAAGTAGGGTTTATACATGCTCTATACCCATTTATGCTGGACATTTAGATAGTCCGTGGGGGTCATAAACAAAACTTCAAATACGCTGCAAAACCCAAGTTCGAACTGGGTGGATCACTTGCATGTTCGGGGCCCACAAATAGAGTCCGTGCCGCGCTCATGACCATATCAAAGGCCGGTCAGATTAGTGACGTATAACTTAACCTGGGTTATGAACCACTTGCTAATTTGGGATGCACCTCCAAGTAGGGTTTCTGTTATAACTATAGTTGCAGTATGGGGTATACCAACTTGTAGCGGGCACAACCTGGGTGAAACTATCTAGCAGAATATGTTTGGCAGCATCAAAGATGTCAACCTTTTCTCGGAAAAGCCAAAGCAATACAGTAGGTACAGTACCCACTTTTTGTCGCGACTGAATTCCCATATACTACTGAATCCCACCTTTCCCTTTCACTGGATATCTTTGGGTGGATGCTGTTGGTTTGGAGATGTTTGGCTGGTGAAAATCCCATTTTGAGATTTTTGAGGTCAAAAATCAGATTTGGCACAGTAAAAACCCAGAAAATCCCATCATTTGGGGATATTTTAAGGGTGGGTTGAATCCCCGATTCTCAGCCACCACTATCCCCACCGAGTTGCATGGTGGCCAACAAATGCACCGCCAGCGCCCACAAGCCGGCAGCGCCACAGGCGGACATGCAGCGGTGGTAGGACACTTGGTCAGGAATTCGCTGATCACCTGGAATGGAATGCCATCCTGCACAGTGGAAGAAATCCTGCACCAATTGGTAGATGGTAAACATCCCGTGGAAAAGTATGTCAAAAAGTGCCATGATTTACCGTGTTTCGTAGTTACCTACTAATTACCAACTGGTTTTCCGGATTTCTTCCATCCACTCCGTTGACTTTCCAAGAATGATCCATTGGCATCTTGATGGGATTTTTCGAATCCGGATACGAATCAGGGGATACATGCCCCCAACTATGACGTCATGATATGTTTTTGTGTGTCTGAAAATGGAGTCGATACCCCCCTTTGATATTGGTCAATTTACTAGGGATTTTATGATGATTCACCAAACGATAAATGCCATAGATTTAGGGATACCCGACTACCCTATAGACCATGAAAAATCTGAGATCGATTCATCCAAAATGAGGGAAAGTGGACCAAACGGGTGCCCTAGCCTCTGGTAATGGCTAACGAAAAGCTATTGGAAATGGCCCAGTCGAAATAGTTGATGACTACCCATTAATAGCATGGTGATTTTCCATAGCTATGGGACAGTTTACCAGAGGGTAGTAGTTTGCGAAGTTGCTTTGCACCTAGGTTACTTAGGTCCATGGTTGATACACGTTGATACATCGTCAGATGGCTTTGTAAAACGACTTGCAACTTCAAGACTTGTTGTGGATGGGGGGCTCAGTCTGGGAGAAAAAGATCATCCCTTTCCTCCTCACGGGAGACCCGCTCAGTATCTGTTCATTTTAGGCGTCCATATGGATGGGAGTTACTAGGAACTATCCCACAAAATTAATAAGAGCTCACATCCCAACCGGGCAACTTTTCTGACAAAATGTTTATGATGTAAACATGCTGGGTGCAATGTGAGACCGCTGGCTAATTAGAGTTTGCCCAGGTAAGTTAAGTCTAACAATACATGAGGCCAAAAGAAAAACTAACAATCAAAATCCACACAGTGGCTTTGGACGATGATGTTCCTCCGCTTCCAAAGCTGCCACAATTTCAGAAACAAAATTCACATATTTCAGCCTGGACGAGAACCACAAAACTCTCAAGTTGCTACATGTTAAGAAACAAAGTTGCATACATCGACATATATGCGTGCATATGTATAACAATTAGTTAGACTACATATATATATACATTATTGTTGCTATTATATGCGATTATTGTAAGAAGATGAATCAGAAAACAACAACGACGAAGACGACGACAACAACGACGACGACGACAAGAACAAGAACAAGAACAACAAGAACGAGATTAGTAGTCAAACTATCCTTTTGTGTGGTACCCAACCGTCACTCCGTAAAAGCAAAGTTTCCCGATGCTTTGGGTCTTAGCGGTAAATACAATTCAGCACAGTAATCATCAATAATCCATGTCAATTAAAAAGTTGCTGATGTGAGTGTTTATATATATATATACTTGTGTATACATGTGTATTATATATATATATACATATTATATCCGATCAGTTCCCATAATTTTCTCCATATGTTTGTTGCCTCTCCATCTGCAGAGCGTTTTGCCAAGTTGCACATGGTCTCCAGGAGGACCAAAGCTGTCCGCCAGTCTCCGGTCTTCTCGGCCACTCGCATGGCGTCACTCGCCATGGCGGGGCCGGCGGAGCGCGGGAGTTTCTGCCGCGATTCGTCAACGGATACCCCAAATCATCCAAGTCATTAGACCAGGTTAGTTCTGAAACCGATGGTGACTTGGGGTTGCCCCCATTTTGGGAAACCTCCATATGTTCATCTATAAGTTATAACGTTATAACTAGGTTGTTAATCAAGTAATTAGTAAGTGGGATGCTCCTCCAAGCGGGGTCCCTGTGCGGAAAATCGAGCCAATGGAAGTGCCTTCAATTTTGAGACAGAAGTTGGGTATGAGTCAAACATGTTCTTCAAACCGAAAATGGGATGGCTTGCGATCCTTCAAAAAAAATACACCACAGACCACCTGTGGTCCTGTGGATACTATAGTTTGACTCAACCCCAATTGGAAGCCTACAATTTCTGATTCAGCTACGCCCGTTGAAAGGTAACATGTAGACCAATTGATCCTGTCGATCCGAAGACCTTGTTGGTCGCGCTGGGAAAAAAACCCTTGATGATTTTCCTCTGACTCCCCCGTCATAGCTCCCAGATGAAATATCGCCCATGAATCATCCGAAATGGTCCTAGAAACATACAAAAAGCTATGGAAAATTGCCATTTATAGGTGATTTATACACTTCACTTGGGGATATGTAAGTCATCTATTCCAGGATGATAAGATGAAAGAAATTCCACGACACTCCCCTGATCTGAAGACGCATTGACACAACCACATCCCACCACCAATTCACTGGGCATTCCCAACCTTTCGATCTTCACCCTTGAAGAAATTCAACAACCTGAGGTGGCATATGAGAGATGTTGAATGTATACATATATATATGTGATGGTGAGTTCCAAAGTATCATCATCATCATCATCATCATCCCAGGTAGGACGGAACACTAAGGATACATATATATATATTATAGATTCCGAATCATGTGTCCAAAGCCCGACATCAAATGAGCGTTGTTTGTCAATAGATGGACCATGATCTCATCATGAATCTCATCTCTAATGTCAACCACGGACAGGGGTTGGTAACTGTCCCATTTTGGGAATATTGGACATCACCTGAAAAAGTAGCCACTATAGACCATATACCTAATGGTTGGGTGATGTTCAATGGGGACATCAGTCATGACCCATGACGGATAACACTTGAACAGCCCTGGTTGCTAAGCCGCGGCTATGTATTGAAAATGGTCATCCCTTCTCCCACTGGATGTTGGTGCCAAGCTCCACAAGCAGAAACCATGAAGAGGAATAACTTGAGAACCCATCATTGGCCATGTGCCCGTTAAATGTACTATACCCTCTGGTTATGTCAAAATAGCTATTGAAAATTGTCATTTATAGTGGATTTTCCCATTAAACATGGTGATTTTCCATAGCTATGTTAGTTTACCAGAGGGTAAATGTACTGTAAACCTACTAAAAACTAAAAAAAAAAACCTGTTGCTACGGATCAGCATACAGCAACCAGATCTTTGTACCAGGGAACTCCCTACCCGAGACATCTTCCCCGAAGAAAGCATGCTCGTGGGACCCGCAATCCTCTATCCTGGCGACATGGGTTGATGGTGACCAATATGCAGTGGTACATGTGAGGAAACCCATGACTGATCAACATGTTGGGGTGTGGCCATTTCAGCCACTCGTATGGCGAGCCATACGTCAAGATTATGGTGGTCTTGTGGTGGTGACTATGGTGGAATATCATCATCAGTATTGGCAATATCATGAGAATAACCAACCACCAGAGTCGGATGCTTCCAAAATATGTGTTGCTTTGGGCAGTACTACAAACAACTACCAAAGATGACCAGATGTGTCTGATCTATTTAATCTATTTTACTGCTTTGCCACCGCGAAATTACCTCATGTTCCAAAACATAATGTTTGTTCTTGGGGAGCCTTACATTGTGTACATATACACGTGTATACGTGTGTATATATATATAATATTATAATTGTGTATATGTATATGTATTATAATTGTATATATATATACATATTTAGTATACATAGCTATACATATACACAAAATATTTACTACTCCTGTGCATGAAATATCATGTACATATGAATACATATGATATATAAATACACCGTGTATATTCTGCATCTGTGTCACATGCTGGACCCCTCCTCAGGTCGCTTCGGCAGCGAAGTACTGCAGCCTCGCCGAACCAGGCGATGGCATTGGGACCAGAGGAAATCGTAGTCTTCCTAGATCCAACTATGGTGGATAATTACATAAAAATTCTGGGATACTAGTTGGGTTGATGTTCAAAGAAATCCTCTGTTCATAGCTCAGCTATTTGCAAAATTTTGAAAATATATTCCTCGAGTGGGTCAAGTAAATGACCGCTCAATCATCAGTCGTGGCTTGTTTTGATTCAATGCTTGGTGGTTCATCCCACTTAGTAAGTGGGTTATAACCCCAATTATAAGTGGATTAACCCTACTTATCCCATTTATAACTGGGGTTATAACCCACTTACTAAGTGGGATGAGCCACCAAGTGGGCCCTTGATTTCCCGTGATGCAGCACCTCAGTTTGACGCCATCGCTGGATCTCCCAGGTTGACTCATCATTTCTTACGACATCTGGAGACTTTTCGATGTCAACGAAGATGAAATCAACACCAATCCTGAAACTGGCTGACTTGTATGGCTGAAATACATAAATAATCATAAATACATACATTCAACACCAAATCAAATTGAAGTGGCTGAAAAAAATCGTCGGTCACCAATCCTGAAACGTTTTATTATCGGTCGTCGGCAGAAGAAGTCGGAAGATCTGAAAAGTGGGGGCCCTACCGACTTCCGGCTCCGACCTGGGTATTACCCTCTGGTAAACTAACATAGCTATGGAAAATGGCCATTTATAGTGGATTTTCCCATTAAAAATGGTGATTTTCCATAGTTATGTTAGTTTACCAGAGGGTACCCTCTGGTAGGTCTAGCAGGGTCTAATTTACCAAACTCAGTCGGACGACGTGGCCCTTTGGCCCTTTGCTGTTTCAATTCTTTCCTATCTGATTGGAAACGGCCAATCATAACACTCAAACAATCACTTCCAACAGTTTTCTCAGGTCATGTGGTAAACACATTTTTTACAGACCATTCCATTGACCAACCATTTAAGGGGCGTCAACCAATTATCCAAAGAAACGAGGTATACCAACAAATAAACCCCAATTGAGGATGGTTTGCTATTGAGTTTGCCACATTCATGTGGTAAACACATCATATAATGTAATAATAACCCAATAATAAACCATCCCCATATCACCCTAAATGGGCCCGTAAGATCCCGTAAGTATCCCCAAATGGTAGCTGTTTATGGCATTGGGTTTACCACATATAATTAAACCCAATGCCATAGACAGCTACCATTTGGGAATGGTGTTACCCGTGGCCAGCGCACCTTCACCTCTCGCTTTCCGGCACGATTGCTCGCAGTGCGATCTGGGCCACGGAAGCTTTCTGCGACGGACCCGGCCCCAGTCTCCCGAGGCATTGGATGATCGTGATTGATTGTTTGGTTATTGGTGATCATGACTGATCATGACAATACTATATGATACTATAGGAAACCCAGCGGTATACGATACTACTATATGATACTTATTCAATAGCAATAGAAAACAATAGCATGGTTGACACTGGAAATTCATCCATTGAAATCCCAATGAATCAGAGATAGATCCCAATCCGTGGGGGTTCGCCATTCCCAGCTTAATGAGGTCATCCTGCAACGACCGCTGTCATCCTCACTGACAATCACCGTTGGGTTATTTATCTATTGCTTTATCTATTGCTATAACTCCCAAATCCCCATTTTTCTGTTGGCTCAATCATCCCACATATCCCACTCTCGCTGTCAAGTCCCTAGTTACGTCGCTTCGAAAAAACAAAAAAAAACTCAGATAGGAATGGAATTGTGCCCGACAAACCTGCTTTTTCCATCCCCAAGCAGTTCTGCAAATTTCTCCCGCCATGAAACTGCGCCCAAGAGACTCATGAAATCAGAGGGCAGGAAGCTGCCGCCTGGGCTGTGCTAGGAAATGCTTGCCAGTGGAAAAACATAAAAACCCAGCGGTAATCTGGGGGCCTGGGGGTTACCCATGGTTACCCATCGTTACCCTCTGTTCAACCAGCAGCTGGGGGTGACCCAAAAGGCAATTTTTTTCGTTGATTTTCGGAGGCAAGATGGGCCTCGAACTGGGGAAAAACTCTCCGTTGCCTCATGGTGATTACTATTTGTCAAAGGTCAGGAACCCATGGTTCCTAAGCAGGAACCGCATCAGGCAGCAGCATAGGGTGGAACCGCAAAAACGGAAAAAACTGCCGTGATTTCCACTGGATTTTCTGCCCCGCCAAAAAAAAAGGGGGATCCACCGATATCCAATTTCCACGTGAAACAGTTCTCCGATATCAATAGTTGAAAACGAATGGTCTTTGGTTATTTAACATAGCCATAGAAAATCACCTTTTTCAATAAGTAAACCCAGGTAAACCATCTATTTCTATGGACCATCTATACAATGGCTATGTTAGTCATAACCAGAGGGTAGCTAATGGTCATGTGTCCATTAATTGAGACTCCTTCTGGTGGCCCAATCCCTGTTTTCAAACATATCCAGACACTGTGAGAGCCCGTTTTTTTCAAATTGATGTCCCTTTCATTTCTCCTTGGTCTGTCATTTATACCGTGTTTTTTTCTGCTTCTTCCCCTCTTCTTGCTACCTCACCTTTTTCTGGGGGGTCATTTCTTGATTAAATTTGCAAATCTCCATGTTGGCTCCTGATATCCCAACATCTTTGACTAGTGAACTCCTTCGATTTTTGCTGCGGGCGATCTCCCCTTCGAAGATCGGCCTGACCCCAGCACCGACGTCCAGGCGAGAGGTTTGGGTGACAGATTTCGGATCGCCTCCTGGGGAAGCAACGGTTCGGATTTCATCGGATTTCGAACGGATCAACTGCGACTTTTCTTTCTGAAAATGTGAATGTTATATAACGATCCTAGGGATCAACTAATGATTAATCATGATTAATCACCATTAATCACCATATAATACATATATTACATATATACACACATCGCGGACACAATTACTTGTTCATGTTCATGCCATGCGCAGATGGGGTCCCCTATCGGTAGGTTCAGGATTTCTGCATTCACAGACTTTCGATTCGATTCATGCAAAACATTGGTCGTCCCCTATCGGTAATGAAGGTTTTGCACACCCCTCAGCAAGCCTAAGGCAAAGCAAGACAACTTGGTATTACAATAATTTTGTCGGTTACTCATATGGATTCTGGATATCATATTATAAACCTATTATATAACTAATTTAACTAGTGGGATATTGACATGAATCCTGGTTTGTATGTGGCCATTTAAAATGGTAATCCCTTTCTATGTACCAATGAAAATTCATCATAATGTGTGTGTGTGTGAACTATTCTAAACATAGGGGAATCCAACTATGTAACCATTTTTTGTGATTTCTCGGGGAAAAACCTATGAGATGTCGAAGATACATTGGTTTTACTATGTTTTACTCATGAAACTGTAGGTCCGATTTTTCAAGGAGATCGAAAGGGTCGCTTTTCGGGAAAGCTTCAACATCCAGCTAGCAAAATGCATTTTTTAATGCTAAGAACAGCAGCATGGTATAATGGTAGGTAGAATCATCAGACAAACAGAAGACTCCGGGTTGGCTGGCTCAGGCCTTGCCGTTAGGTTGGTCAAGTTCGTGACTTCCATCTGGGCACTTTCTGCCGAGAATCGCAACTATGAGGTCGTGAGTTTGAGGATACCTAGCTGCTACAGCAACCTCACAAAAAGATTGAAAAGTAAAATCAATAAGAAAATGAGACTGAATTGCTTTTCTATGCTTTTCTATGCTTTTCTATGCTTTTCTATGCTTTTCTATGCTTTTCTATCTTCTTCAGGGGTCCTATGTTCTGGATGAAATGCGCTAGAGTAATGTGAGCCTGAAAATCAACCACCGGCAGCACCCAGCCACGTCCCCACGTCGTTCCTGTAGAACTATCTGACGCCTTGGATGGCGGCTTTCGAGACGAGAACCAGTTTCAGCTGAACAAATCTTGGAATTCAATCAGGAACACATACAGTATATAAATACATATAAATACCGTCCGGCCTGGAAAGATAAATCGTTGAATTACCAGAGGCTACCCCAAAAGGTATCTCCAAAAATCCCTGGAAAATTAGCAGCAGGTGATTTTTTAAATCATAGACTCAAAAAGTCATAGACCCTGCATGACACTGGGAGGCAAGAAAAACCCGAGGTTTCCTATCCGGGTCATCATCCAACGGCTTCCAAGTCGTTTCCAAGTCGTTTCCCAAAGAGCCGGCCAGGTCGCTGGTCTTTCTCGTAGGACCAAAAAATGGGCAGCAGCAAAATCAGGAAACAGAGACCTGCCCCAGCATCATATTGGCCTCGAGCCAGGCGACTGCCAAATGGTGCTTTTGAGCCGTCCCCAAAGGGGTCATCAATTGGTTTCCAGAATCGTTCACTGTAAAGATGCATAACTAAAACGATGCACAAAAAAAGGAACTGTTCAATCACCACGTCGTATTGTTCCTGTTGTACCCATAAAAAATCCCAGTCGATTCATGTTGATTCCACATGCCATGGCATATATCTTAATCTCCATAGTTGAATTATATTCAAGTTCTGCGTCGTTCCATATCATATAAGTTGATCTGGTTCCATATACTATTAACCTATTACATATATATATATATCCCCAAATCGCGGCATTGATCCCCACATATCCCCACTTTGCCAAACCGGCCAGATTAGGCCATGGGGCCTTCAGATTTCAACCAACTTGATATGAAGGTGGCAAGCACAGCACAGCACGACAGGATCGCTGAGAGCCACAATCCTGGGATTTTCGGCCGAATCCCAACAGAAAGTGTGGTATAACTGGCATCCCGGCATCCCGTCATGAAACCGGGATAGGTTGGTTCCCAAAAAGTCAATAGAGGTTCCCAAAAGGTTGGTTAAAAAGCAGCTCACCATTCAAAAATCGGATAGAATATGTGGCTCCTTGGCTCCCTGGAATTGCACGTAAATCTCCAAGCTGATTTTTGTTCGTTGGAGGTGGCTCATCCAGTTTCATGGGGTTTCCATAAATGGGGGTACCCCCATAGCTGGATGGTTTTTGTTAGGGAACATCCCATCGAAATGGGAAACCCCCATATGATGATACCATGTCACCCAGAAACTCCAGAGCTATGACCTAATGTTCCATCCCTGCAGAACTCATTGCTACTGACCCCCGGATCAATGCCCAAGAAGCGAAGGGGCAGGGCTGCCAAAGATACGACCACCTCGGCAGTGAAGTTTGGCTTGGAACCAGAACTGGATTGACCATTCTTGGGGTTGTTGAACATTTTTGGGGGGTACCCAAGAACTCACAGATGCAAGGTGCAGCTCTAAGCATTTTGTCAGCGGCGGCGCGAATTAATACCCGACCACAAGCAAATCAAACATCGGGCGTGCAGAAGTCAGGGCTTTTCCTGGAATCTCTCAGCATGCTCAACCTGGAAAGAAAACATGTGTATGCGTCCCTAAACAGTGTGGATACCCAAAAATTACATACACTGGGTCCGTGAGCAGTTCTCATGTTCCTGTTCGACCCAAGCGGCAGATAGGATCGTGAGTATGGCTGTAGACGGTCCTTCCTCTGGAATCATATGCCACCTCAGCAACTTCGCAGTGGGATGTGCATTTTTGAGCAAGTTTGCCCTCTGGCAATCCAACAAGACAATGGCAAATCCCTCACTTCTATTGTATTTCGTGCTAACAATGAGGGTCTTCCATTGCCAGATTGGTTTCCCTATAGATGCTTGGATGGTCCATCCGAGAAGTGAGAACATTCTATGCTATCCCTGAAGAAACACATAAGTTAGTACTGATAATTACAAATCAATTGAATAGTTAGGTTCACAACTGTATAATGTCCCCATGATACTATAATATATTTATATATAAACATCAGTTAGCTGAAGAATAGCCAGGTAATGCTAGATTGTGCCCTGTTCCTCAGCTACGCAGCCACCCGGCCGGGTGGTGCAAGGACCCACTTACCCAGCAAACATGCAGCTTTTTTGAAGCTACCAGCAGCTACCAACACGTGGCAACTGCCGGATTCTAAGAGCTTTGAAAACTGCCCGGTGCCCCTTGGCTTCAAAAATTTGCTGACCCCTCTGCTCTCGATTTACCTCAAAAGAAAAGAGGGGCGTCTCTGTGCCATCTTTGTTTGCAAATCAGCGGGAGGGTATGACCATGAATGTCCCTAAATTAATGATGGTATAATATGATATAATCAGCTGCATTTACTATGGTATAATTAATGGTACCACCATGAATGGTGATTGTTTTCCAGTTCCAAAAATAAACGACCAACACCTCTAAGCTATTCCAAGCTATACCAAGCGCCCACCTGGTCGCCAATAGTGTGGAGCTGCTGAAGCCCAGGAAAGCCCAGAAGGGCTCCCAGGACCAGCTACTCCTGGAGCATGGCAAGCACCGAAATGGCCAGCAAAATGCAGGGAAAATCCCCTTGACTCCGGCAGGAAAAATCTAACCTGGTGCAGCCAGGTTAAGTGCAATGATCCAATTTTTGTAAGGCTCCCAGCCTTAACGGCAGCGGTAGAACCATAGGTGGAAACTGCTCACTTGCTGAATTCAAAGATTTGCATCGAAATTTGGGGGAAGCCCAAGCTGCAGATTCCGAAGATTCAAGGCTTCCAAGCTGCATCAGACTGCATCACTCAGAAGTTCTTGGAAGATGAGATGAGCCCGGTAATCCAACGTGGCTGGGAAATCACCGAACCAAATTGAGGTTTTGCGGCTGGGAAAATCATCCATATATACTTGGGGGAATTTTCCATTGCCATGTTTGACTACCGGAGGGTAAACATCCTTTTTTGGTGATACCCCAGTTTTGACCCACAGCCCAGCCCGGCATGCGCGGAAACAGGTCCTTGGGCATAAAGCGGAGGCGATGGAGAGGATCAAACTGAGGATGGACAGTATGAAAACGCTGAAGCAATGGATGGTCTCTCCTGCCGAGTGAGTCATGTCATGCCAGCCCATCTCCCAGTGAAACACCCAAAAAAAAAACATATGGGTAATTGGGGGAGTTATGCCCTCCATCTCAATGAAATTTCTACATATTTATGTGTAATGTATATCTATGTGTCTTTGGGGGGTCCGTCATTGTACCAGCGACATCCATCCGGTCACACCGTCGAGCGCACAGCTTGCCAAAGGTGGATCTGTCTGAACTTTGGTCCGCCCCACCATAGAAACCACTGGGAAACTGCTGAAGTTTGGCGTGGCTTCTCAAGTGTCCAGAATAGACATATTTGACATGTTTCATGGTCTATTCTGGCAAAGCACCCCCTGAAACAACATGTCTTTTGCCCATTTGAAATTTGAGAATTACTTCGCTAGGAATATCCCAGGCCCACAGGCGTCACTTTAAGGATGATCTACACTTTGTACCCAGCTGCCAAGTGTTGCCCGGCTTGGTAAGAGAATGGGAAGATTGGAAAGTCTCTCATTTCCCATTTCAGTCCATGGTTCACCTCTCAACAAAAGGAATCCTAAGTTTTGGTGATTGAATCACCTTGTCATATCATAGTAACCCAAAAAACTGGAAAAAAGAGTTACTAATGACGTTAGACGAGTTTACTCAGATTTTGCTGTTCTATCTTTTATGGGCTTGCTATAAATGATATCCGGGTTGTTCATCCTCCCCACGGAGCGTCTCCTAAGGAGAGCTCCCGTTCTTCGGTGATCGGCAACAACCACAAAGCCTGGCATGCTCCGAAACCGTGGTGCCACAAGACGGGAAGAAAAAATCATGATAACAAGAACAATAATAGAAGTAATAACGACCATACTACACAACTACATATGCATATGTATATATATAATTATATATATAGAGATAGATAGGTAGATAGGTAGATAGGTAGATAGGTAGATAAATAGATAGATAGATAGATAGATAGATAGATATGATCATGTACGTCTACATACATATACATATACATATATACTGTATGTATGTATGTATGTATGTATGTATGTATGTATGTATGTATGTATGTATGTATGTATGTATGTATGTATGTATGTATGTATGTATGTATGTATGTATCTATGTATCTATGTATCTATGTATCTATGTATCTATCTATCTATCTATCTATCTATCTATCTATCTATCTATGTATCTATGTATCTATGTATCTATGTATCTACGTATCGATGTATCGATGTATCTATGTATCTATGTATCTATGTATCTATGTATGTATCTATATGATCATGTACGTCTACATGTATGTATGTATGTATGTATGTATGTATGTATGTGTATGTATGTATGTATGTAGTATGTATGTATGTATGTATGTATGTATGTATGTATGTATGTATATGTATGTATGTATGTATGTATGTACATATATACTGTATGTATGTATGTATGTATGTATGTATGTATGTATGTATGTATGTATCTATGTATCTATGTATCTATGTATCTATGTATCTATGTATCGATGTATCGATGTATCTATGTATCTATGTATGTATGTATGTATGTATGTATACGTACGTGTACGTACGTATGTATGTATGTATGTATGTATGTATGTATGTACGTATGTACTAGTATGTATGTATGTATGTATGTATGTATGTATGTATGTATGTATGTATGTATGTAGGTAGGTAGGTAGGTAGGTATGTATGTATGTATGTGAAAACATAGGAATACCATCAAATAACAAGTTTCACTTGTTATACTGAAGGTCTTCGACAGATCCAGTGGACTGGTCGTTCGCAGCTCATGAAAAATGCCGGCCTGTGAGACTGCAAACGACCCATGAAGGCAAAGGCAGCCCAAAAGCATAGGACATCTTCCTAGCCAGGGTTAGCCCGGCCCCAGCTGGTGCTGAATGGGAGGATAGTTGGTCCATGATAAGAATGATAAGATGTGAGACAATATACTACAACCACTTTTCTTGTGCTGAACTTCCAAGGGTCTCTGCAAAATTTGGCAGCAAGGAGGCAAGGAGCAATTTTATGTCAGGTGAATGGAGGTTCACGCCCAAAACCATCTTGCCTGGACAGATTGAAATTGTTCGAACACCTGAAATCATCTAAGATCGTTCCCACTTTGGAAAGATATCCAATGCAGAAAATTCCTTCGGTTGCCTGCGGTGAGGCTGATCGAGGTGGAAAACCCAGCCATGGTTATTATACCCCCCAGAATCGTTGACCTACTTATTGAATGGAACTGCAATCACCAACTCCGGTACCCAGCCGATACCGCCCTGGCAAGCGTCGAACATGTACCAAGTGTAACTTATAGGCTGTTTCGTCTGCCTGGCGAAACTTCCAGCGGCAAACCGAAGAACTTCCAGGTTTGGGAAGAACTTTGATCTCTTTCGCCTCTCGCTGAATTTCATATATATATACATATACATATGGACATGCGTTACATGCGTATATTTTATTGATATAGATATTTCTAGTTATGGTGCATGTGTACTGTATATATATATATTATACGCATAGAGAATCATGTAGAAAGATGACATCGTCAGACGTCGACTCTTCACCTGTTCCAACCAGCCGCGCAAACGCCGCGGCAAGACTACCCTCTGGTAATTTAACATAGCTATTGAAAATGACCATTTATAGTGAGTTGTCCCATTAAAAATGGTGATTTTCCATAGTTCTGTTAGTTTACCAGAGGGTAGTTGATTTTGGGAATCATTGAGAGCAGTCATAGTATCTTCTCTAATTGGTGGTTGACCTACCACCCTGAAAAATATTATATAGTCAGATTGGATCATCATCCCAACTAGGAAGGGGAAAACAAAAAAATGTTCCAAACCACCAACCAGTTCTCCAAAGAAACCCTGTTTGCCTTGTATGTTTGGAATTGGCTGAGTTGCGATGTACTTGCGTCCGTAATTTGACTGCTAGGACTAGGCACTATGCAGCAGTCAGGTTTCAAACAGGCGAAAGCCTCAGGAATTTGGGGAAAACCCATCTAGCCCAAATCCCAAAAGATCAAGGAGCCATGAAGCCATGGTTTCCCAAATTCAAAAATTCACGTGATTTTTTCGGTATTCAGCCATTCTCTTCAGCCATTCTCTTGGGTATTTTCATATGGATTCCCAAATTTGAGCCATGTTCTAAATGTCTTACATCCTGTCTTACATCCTGGCACCAAATAAGGAAATGCTTGCGCCATTGCGCACAGGTTTTGCTTACGCGCGCGCACAGGTTTTGCTGATGCGCATATCTTTTCTTACGCGGAGCTTACGCTGGCTTACACGGACCACAGTTTTGCTTACACCACACCCTTACAAGGGGCCCCTTGCTTAACATGAACACAACCGTTTAGAACGTGGCTCTTAAATATTTCAGCTCTCTTGGGATTCTGCAGGCCCTGAAGTCTCACCCAACTGGGGCCTCCAATTCAAACCTTGCCGTGGCCAGTGGAAAGCAGTCAGGGCCTCTCGATAATACAGTATTGATAATAATGAAATAATACGATCAAATAATGAGAATAACAGTAGTGATAATGGATGATAATCATGGTGATAATAACGATAATGATAATACTAGTTAGAAATAAGAATAGAAGTAATGATAATACTAGATAATAATGATGATAATTATATAATAGTAGTGATGATAGATACTGATAATAATGATAAGAATGATAAGAATGAAAAGAATGGTAATAATGGTAATAATGAAAATGTTTGTGATTATGTTTATGCTTATGATTATAACAAAGAATAACCTCAGTAGTGATAGACATGATAAACAGTAGTAGTGACAAAATTAAACTGAAACTAGAAACAATCATATCAACGGTATTACTTTTTATGATAATTGATAATACACCATCATAGTCACAATGATACCAATAATAACGCTGAATCAATGTCTGAATGTGTAAAAACAAAATATACTGATAGATGTATACTTAGAAAATAGTAATCATGGTATATGGTAATATTGTGGTTATCTTTGCTTCTATTCCAATAGCCTATCTGAGTTTGTCTGAAAATCCGATACCCCAAATCTGATGTTCTTCCCCGTTTTCAGACACCACTGGGTGCTTCAGAAGTAGGTCATATCCCCGGGAGAAGCTTTTCATCCACTTGGGGTTAGAAGCTATCTAGTTGTTACGCGGGAAGATAGATGAACACCAATCTCTCGCACATGGTATCATGACTCTCAGAACGTGGCTGGAAAATCCTGAACTGAATCGAGGTTAGATGGCAAAATCATCTACAACTGCTGGATTTTCCCATTGCCACGATAGGGAGGGTATACTCCCATGAAATATCCCAATGATTATCCAAAATATCTCCCAGTCATATCCCCATCAATCCCTAGAACTCCTTATATTATAAATCCCTAGAACTCCCTAAAGAAATCCCTACAACCTCCCAGTCAAATCCCCAGAAATCCCATCCAACTACTGGATTTCACCCACCGTGCCACGGCACCGCTGATCCAGTATGCGTAGTTGCTCCATCCACGCCATCACCGGCTTCGCCGGTCATGGCGGCCGCGCCGATAAAAAACGCCGCGGTCTGAAGCCACTGCGGCGGTGTCGTCTCGTGGCGGGGAGCGTCCGTTTTGTGGCAAATCTTAGGTTTTTGGCCAAGATAGATTATATAGATATAGATGTAGATGTAGATATAGATATTAGATATAGACATTCTACTTTGAGGATTGAAAAAAATCTGCCCGCACCCCTTCGGTGCCGGAGCATGGTAGTTTAGTGTCGAGCACACTCTTGTCAATGCAATCAGCATGCAGTTCAACAATGAAAACGGGATCAAACTTCACAATCCAGGACTCTGTTGGTGCTGAAGAATCAGTGTTGCAGTCAATGAGGTTTGAAATTTGAAACGTCAACCATTGGCTGGATCCAAATACTGGTTAACGGCTTAGTAAACGTAGCCCCAAATCTACTGGATTATCATCAGCTTCCTTGCGATGCTAAGTGTCCTTGCTTAGGGATATCTCTCATTTTCAGACACACCCATAGACACGCAATCAAGCAATGCGTGATGCCCCAACTCCCCAAGTTTGGGGATATGTCTTGACATGTCCCCCTTAGTCTTTTTGGCTGCCCCAAGATGACTACCAGATGTGCATCCCAGTTAGGATGCGGTTTTAAAAAATATCCTGGATACAACCCAGCTACACATACCCATTTCCATATACATTTCCATATACATAGATACATATATACGTATATACGTATTTACGTATATACATGTATACATATATATATACACATACATACACACATACATATATATATATGTATATATATATGTATATTCTGTATATTGATATTGCATATGAGTAAATCATATATGTGTGTGTATGTATCGGATCCCACCTCAAGGCCTCTAAGGCGATGGAGGCACTCAGAGGCTCGAGGGCCAAAGCCTGCAGCGTTGAAAAAATTGAACGATTAAACAGTGATTGAATGGTTAACTAACAAAAAATTGTGATTTAATTGGATATGAATGGGATAATATGAATGGTTAACTAACAAAAAATGGTGATTTCCCACCAGCCATGGCTTTTCATGGGTTTTCCCAAGGGTTTTCCCATGGGTTTTCCCACATGTCCATCTATATTTCATGGGGAAGGGCCTATGGAGGTATAACCAAGAATATGATATGTGGGCTGAGAATCATCCAGTAAATTGGGAAACGGCACAAAAAAAAAACTGGGTTTTGTACACCAACTTCAGATAGACAGTCTATGTATCTTTCATGTATCGTTCCGCGATTTCAATGATGTACAATAAAAAGTGTTGTGAGAAAGGCAGGCAGAACGATCCCAATGTGTTGTAGATTCATGTCATCTCATGTCATGTCCCAAAATCGGGAAGCAAATTCTTGGCCAATATCATCATGCCACATCAGTGGTTACTGAGTGATAAGCGCTTACAACTCGTTTATCTCGTGGGACATTTTACCCAACTACTGACCACCCAGATATGAAACAGTAGGAAATCCTCAGTATGGTTCGTTTATAACTCTGTTTTGGATGGTTGAACCCCAACTGGGAAATATCACCCAACTCCTAATCATCAATCCTAATGTCTAGCATCATCCCATTAAAGTTATTGTAGTCCTAATCATTCAAATATGGAGTGGCAGGCAGTTTTGATGGCTAAAGATTAAGTCCCCAATTTGTTCGCAAGTTCAGAAAATGCGTTGCTATCAAACCTTGACATTTTAGTTCACACCAAAATTAACAATACCACTAATTTGCAAACTAATAGGTCAACCTAGGTCAACCTAGGTCAACCCAGATTACACGTTCTACAACCCAGCACCGGTAGGGGGTCCCCAGGATGCTTCGCCGTCGTTGCACCTCCTTGAGCATGTCCACTTTGGGGTACACCAACCTGGCCTTCGTGGGCACAAAGACGGCCTCAGCGGAGGAGCGGGGGATCTTACAGGGGATTTCATGGAATATCACGGATATATATATATATATGTCTATGTATATATACCTATATACATATATTATATATAGATATACACATATACATCTATATATGTGTATATATATATACGTATATATTATATACAGTATATATAATTGCATATGTATATAAATGATGGGATATAAAGGGATGTTTTTTTCGGAGGGTATGGTTTGCATTTGATTTATGACGTTTAAGCATCAAGACTTGTGGGTTAACCGTCCAAAACTAGGGTACGAACCATCTACAGCATACAGGATAGTATGGCGGTATCTAGTGGGATACAACATGATACAACAAACAATATGATGTGGGTTTGTCTAAAAATGTTGGTATATGTTGGTAAAACCCCAAAATCTCGTCTTTGCCAACATCCACTTTTCAAATTCAACTGGCAATAAATTGAGATTTCCTAGTGTTGAACAAACGCACAGTATCTCCTCACAGGCCCAGGGACCGAACTGTCAGTACACCGCGGGCCACCGCGGTATCCCATTTCAGACGGTCACCCAGATCACATTGTTGGTACATGAACTACCCATATGGGTGTGTCTCGAACGAAAATGCGTATACCCCAAAATCGTGGTCCTAATTTCGGAAAACCATGATAAACCAATCGGTTTTGTGGTAGTGTACCTTGTTTTCAAACAAAGTATCATCATGACATGATAATTAGATATCATCAGACATCAGATTTTTCATCCAACCAACTCAATCTTTGTGTTTTCCCATTGAAACCCTATTTTTTTGAGGCATGTACCCATGGTTTTCCCATGAAACCTTATATTTTCCCATGGTTTTCCCATGGTTTTCCCATGGTTTTCCCCATGGTGAAAACCACCGAAAATCCCATGAGTCCCCGATAGTCCCCGCACCCCGCCCCGCAGCCAGGGGCGACTCAGAGTGGCCTCAGGCGACTTCACCAGGTGAATTGGAAGCCAAAAAAGGCATGTGTGGATCTTACGTCGTGTATATGCATGATATATTATATAATACATGTGTATATATATATATATATATGTGTATATATACAGTGATGATCTTGCACTTAGAGTAGATTATATCCTATAGCAGGTTCACGTCTGATATATCACATACATGTGGTTATTGGAAGACCTGAATTGACTCTAAGGAGGCTCCATGCCATGCCATGCAGGTATCGAATATCCCGCCCAATCATGGCATGATGGATGATCCCTCAACAAAGTGGTTGGCAACTGCCTTGTAACAATTGGCACTGTGCTTTGAGCGGATACTTCACCCAGTTCCGGTATTACCCAGTTACCTGTATAAGCTGTCAGACTCATGGCATCATCGGGCCTTAGCGTCCAAATGCTCCACCAACGAACGCAGATCCTGGCCACAAGTGACATCAGGGCATGGCAGGGTGGTGGCGGAGTTCCTGCCCAAACTGAACATTCTAGACGAATCCTAGCCCATTCGTTTAGGATAGCGAATGGATAGTGCGTCGGGTTCATCCTACGGAAAAGAAACATGCGACACACGGAAAGGTGGGAGTCCCGTGGGCGCCAGTGCACTCAGTGGGCTGCCTGGTCCTTTGAGAAAGAGGTGACCCACTCAATAAATCAACGCCTCTTCAGTGTGTCTGTTTGGTAAGGTAGTATAAATGGAGGTTTCCTGAAATGGGGGTTCCCCCAGTCATCATCCACATTTTTCATTGGGATTTTCCATGAAATATCATGAAATAACCATCTATTTTGTGGTACCATGACTCTGGCAACCCCCATTTCTGGGTGCCCCGTTAAACCCTAAACCCGCCATCTCCAACGTAGCTGCGGATTCGGGGGTTGCACTGTTTCGTATCGGTTCGCTGATTTCATCGTATCGGTACTTGACATTATTTTGACGAGACCAAATATCATGGCCACATCAGATGTTTCAGAAATATGTCAAGTTATATCAAGATGTTTCAGAAAGCTGCTCCAATCTGGTATCATGGCCATCTACTGCTTCTAGCTTCGACGTGTAGCATCCAAGAGCTGCATCATTGCAAATCACGCAAAGTTCACATCCCAAGATCATTTATGGCAACCCCCAAAGAGATAGAAGGTGGGCCCCCAATTGTATAAGTTGGTTCACAAAACCATGAAATATCGCTATGTCCCCCATAAACCCCTTTCAACCAAGTTATAAACCAACTTTGCCATCTAAGAATTTAGGGGTTATGTACACTTTGAAGAATTTAAAAAAAAAAGTACTGGGGCCAAATAACCTGCTTCTATCCCTTTGGGGTTCAACATGGGTCAACAATGTTTTTCACATGTAAAAACCCATGGGACCATCAATACGGGGCCAAAAATGAAGACCCAAACGAAGCCACAAATGACTGGCTCAAGGGTTTTTCGCTTGGGGAACCCGTCTTGACTAAACCGTCCTTAAACGATGTTTCAATGGGATCAGTGGGATATTTTTTTTCAGGTCTCCAAAAAGATGGGATTTCATTTCAGGTCTTCATTCCCAGGCCTACCACTGTTCTACCTAGGTTTTTTTCAAAGTGTCCCTCTGGTCAATGGATTGGTTTAGGGGAAATTTTACAGGAAACCCCCATATTTAATGGTAAAAACCCATGGGTTTCCTGTGAATTTTCCCTTAAACCAATCCATTGATCTGGTAATCAAACATGATGTGCTGGAAAACCACCAGCACATAGTGACATAGTTCGATGAGAAAATCCCAGCCTTCATAAGAACTCAGAAGGATGGATTTCTGAAGGGCATAGTCCCATTATTTCCCAATTATATCCAATTATCCCATGATGTCCTACTTATATCATATCCCTACAAATCCCACTATATAGATATAGATATAGATATATATGATAACACCTCATAGCCCGCCCCTTGCATTGCAGGCCTGCGTGTTTTGAAGCTGTGCGTACCAAAGTTGGTCGTCCCACAAGCCATGCCATTCCACCTCCACGTCGCACATGGACAGCGGCTGGGGATGGGGTTGATGTGGCTGGCGGATGAATCTACAGTTAATGGCTTTACCAATGCTTTACCAAC